CAATAAAAATACATTTTATTAGACACGCACGCTAAAACTTCGAATAGCACCAATGGCCTATACACTATAACAGATGCTGGCTTGGTTTACCAAGGGGACCGTGAGAAACTGCTCTAGTCAAAGTAATGAATGATTTACTTATGGCTTCTGACTGTGGCTGCATATCGCAGCATTCGATACTGTGGACCGTAATATCCTCTTGGACCGGTTAGAAGGTGTAGTTGGCATTACAGGGACAGCATCTCTTGGTTCCGCTCATATTTAACTGATCGCTATCAGTATGCCCATGTGAACAACGAATCATCCAAGGCCACCAAAGTCACATACTGTATAGTGTCCCACAGGGATCAGTACTGGGCCCACTACTGTTTACCCTATACATGCCACCTCTTGGTAACATTATTAGAAATCATGGTGTTGGGATTCATTGTTATGCAGATGATACACAGTTATATATATCTGTTAACCCTGATGATACATCACTCCTACTGTATCTCGGTTAGAAGATCTGTTAGATTTTTTGCAGGATGGCAAAAAATTTCCTAATGTTAAACACAGAAAAAACAGAAGTACTGGTAATTGGTCCCAAGGCTGCAAGAAATAAGTTTCACCACCTCAGCATTAGTGGCCATCCTACACAACCTAACATGGTGGTTAGAAATCTTGGTCTTCTAGTTGATTCAGATCTACAGTATGTTTTGATGCTCACATAAGAAGTATTACTAGAACTGCATTTTATCATCAACGGAACATAGCCAAGCTTCGTAAGATGCTCTCACTTTGTGATGCAGAAAAATTAATACATGCCTTTGTAACTTCCAGACTGGACTACTGTAATGCCCTCCTTTACAACCCCCCGCGCTTGCTTCGTTCTCAAGGCGCGGGATATCTGTTAGTACCTTGGGTAGAAAGAGCTACGGCAGGCTGCAGAGCTTTCTCCTATAGAGCTCCTCAGCTGTGGAATGGTCTTCCCACCAGATGTGCGGGTTTCAGGCTCACTCGCAATATTCAAGTCTAGACTAAAAACACACCTGTTTAACTTAGCTTATAGGGACACTAGTTCTAGCTCTAGTTCGATGCCATTGGCTTTGGATAAACTGAATTGACAGTGCTGTCACTCTAGCTTCACAATCGCTTGTGGGATTGGAGTGCTGACATTTCAGGGACTCCCCATGCCTGCATTCCCACCTGCCTCTCCCTCGTACTTATGCTGCCATAGTCATATCTGCTGGAGCTTGCACATTGCACTTCATATTGCACTCACCTAACTGTTAGCACTGCCTATAGTCTCCCCTACTTTGACTAATTGCATATTTTATTTCCCCTAGTCCTCCTGGGGGGTGCTGCCCAGAGACCTCAATCTATCAAGATGTCCAGCACACCCTGCAGCATGTGACGTCGCCACTACCAATGACGTCCGTACATCCAGCTCACCGTTCTGCCTGTGTCATCTTCCATGTATGACCCGCTGCCTGCCTTCTGGTTGCCTGGCGATTGGAGGGAGCGTTGGCACCGACTTGCCTTCTCCCCCCTGCTCCCCGTTTGTGTCTCAAATTTTACTGTATTTGACTCTCCCTGCCAGCCCCTGGAGGATGGGCTCCCCCTTTGAGTCTGGTCCCTCCCAAGGTTTCTTCCTTCTGTGGAGTTTTTCCTTGCCACTGTCGCCTATGGCTTACTCACTGGGGGCTTTGGGTGGGGATGCTGTAAAGCACTTTGAGACAATTTAATGTTGTGATAATGCGCTAAACAAAAATAAATTTCTTATTTGTTGTTATTTCAGCAATGCAGGAAAACACACAAGGCAAAAAGGCCGACAAACAGGGCATAAGTGTTCCACATGTTGACAATCACAATAGAAAAGAAAAAAAAAAACAAATTACAACTCAAATCACATGTACACAAAACTCATCTATACAGTATATGGTTGTCACACATGCACCATCTCACAGCGGTAGCCGGTTTCCACAGACGAACCAACAGCACTAGCAACGGCACTCGGTCCAGTCAGCCAGGCAGTTGCGCCTGAAACCACTGACTCAAACCAAGACAGAAACAGAAATAACTCAAAACAAAAAATAATCAAAACCAAAAAGCGAAAAGGTAAAACGAGAAGCAGAGCAAAGCAAACCGTTAAACAGGAAAACAGAGTAGGTCAGGTCAGGTTGGGGAGCATGCGCTGATGCAGCACGTTGCCACACCCACCACACAGCGAAACTCCTCGGGATCCCGACCGGCAACTCCCCAGGAAGACACACAGTCCAGTCCCACCCTCCGCAAATGGCCATCCATCTGCTGCAGCCAGGTATTATGTGGGCATCTCCTTGGCCTGGTCAAGCAAAAGAAAAGAATCAAAACCAAAAAAAAGACAAAAAGCAAAGAGGTAAAACGAGAAGCAAAGCAAACTGTAAAACAGGAAAACGGAAACCAGAAAGAAAAGTGTCTTAAAATGACGTGAGAGGGATACAGGGCTTTCGAAGGAACAAACAGGCACACTTGGGTCCCAACAGAAACACTTTATTAAAAATAATACAAAATAACCTTGCATTACAAGTGATATCAAATTGCATTATATATCATATAATATAGGTGCAAAGACACAAATGATATATATGAAAGAAGCAATAATATATAAAATGCTAATTATTATCACAAGCAGTGATAATTAATCACAATAATCAATGAAATGCACAAGCAGTTGCAAAGCTATTCACAATCGGACGTTCCATCATCACCCACCTTCACACTCGGATGTGCCATCATCACCCACCTTCACACTCGGACGGACCATCATCACCCACCTTCACACATGGACCGGGGAGCCCTTTTCAGTCCTGGCAGGAGTCCTGAAAACGTGCCGGGTGATGCACGCTTTATCCCACGGCTGAGCTCCAGTCAACATCGAGATCTCCCCCTTCCTTTATACTAATTTTGGGCGCTGCATGCAGGCAGGGGAGGATCTGGCCAGGCTCACCCCTCCCCTCAGGCAATGCATTCTCAAATTTCCAATTTTGTCCAGGTAATGCTGCTTGTGGTTTCAATCAGAAATGATAAGACAAGTTCCCATAATCAATGGGCTCCCCCCTCCTCCCAAGGATGGGGTAAGCGTCCCACACACCGACCGCTAGGTATGGTTTCAATCAGAGATAGTAAGACAAGTATCCTTGAGCAGTATTTCCCTTCTTCCTGAAGACGAGGCAGGTGTCTCATACACCGATCAGTGGTGTGCAAAACATATTGGGCAACACCTTTCCTTGCTTATGCAGTTCAACCTTGACACAATAATATTATAGGTGAATCTGTGGAAGGAATTTGGCAGAAGTCGATGAGTTTAAGAGTCTGACAAACTTTATTTCCTTTACCAAAGCTTTGGGGAACAGGCACTCAGCAATCTTTCATGCGTCTTGTGATCTGCCCCCCGAACAACATGTGGATAAATTTTTATAGGCATAGAATTGCGTCATCTTTCAGTCAGCTGAGTGAGATATCTGCAGTCATCAGCTTTTACTGATAACGGGGTGAACAACAGGTTAAGGTAGGGTCGACCTTTCCATGATCACCCTTGTGGTTGTTATTGTCTTTCTATATATATATCTATATCTTTCTATTTTACTTCCCCATACACTCCTTTCTCCTCACACATATCCTAGCAGCCCTCCTTCTCCTCAGCAGTCATATGCTTTACTTATGTTGCAATAGCTTACTTTCCAAACTAGGTCTGTACCTTAGTTCGGTCCTTTTGTAGAATGAGCTCCCATATCAAAATATATCAGTTCCACTTTTAAGCATTACAGCCTATTACAGAATAAGTGCATCATACCATATTTTCTTTAACAGAATTATAAAGCAGTAATTATATACAATTGTATATAATTACAGTTAACAGTTATAACATAAATGGTAACATAGAATTCATTATTAATTGCTTATTGCATTGATACATGATTTGCATAATATTGATTAATGTTTTAAAAGCATAGAGCATAGTATCAATTTTTCTTCCACAAATCATGGACAATGTATCCGAATCTCAGGATGATTAGTCCATACACGATCAGAATCAATCAATACCTCAATCACCTCTTATATGACCGCAGCAGGAGGACAGTGATTAATTATAGGTGACGAAATCGTCCGCAAGTTTGTCCTAATACAAAGAGCAAACCATAAAACAAGACAACAGAAACCAAAAAACGAAAAAACAAAGCAAAACCCAAAACAAAAATCAGCAGCGCTGTCCACACGAGGAACCCGAGACCCATGTAAAGACACAAACAATAAAAGCAGTCGCATAGACACTTCTTTTCACCACAGGAAGCAATCGGAGGAAAACCAACCCACAACACTCAGATGATCAACGATGATCAGATGATGGCACTCAGCACCGGGGAAGCAGCAGACTCTTACACCAGGGGAAGCTCCAGTTTCATACACACGGGACCAATAATTACCAAGCAGATGCAGCAGCAGCCTCACTAGCATGCAGGAACAGGCACACACCCACTGTCGTCCCTCGCCCATTTAGCAGTTTTTGCCTATCACGCAATTCAACTTTGAATATAAGGAAGCAGAATTAAAATGGAATTGATTTCATAAGTTAATATATATATAATATTTCAATATGAATTACACAGCATGTTAAAATAAACAGCATACACTAAAGCCCCTCTGCCCCCCCCATCCCATCAAGGCAGCAGGAAGTGCCCATTGGCAATGCACGCCTGACAGCTCTCTGCTTCTGTGTACGTTACTGGTGGATTCCTGCAGACTTACAGATGCACGTAGCCTCAGCAAGGCTGCAGTGTCCTGCATCTGTGCATGCACTGATCACATTTCCCTTGCACCGTGCACACAACTACATACAATTTCCAGCAGGGGATGGAACTAAAATTGGTTTTCATGCCATTGCATGCATACCTGGCATTGTAGGTGCAGTGGACGGAAGCCTCAACGCTGTTCATACTTGAACACATTACTATAGAGTGTGCTTTGGGCATGTGAAAGATGTGATTCTTGTGCCTACACAAGTCCTTGGGAGCTCTAAGATTTCCTCCTGAATGTTGCTATGCTGATTTGCTTATGTGTAGCATGCTGCAAAACATTGTGGTAATTATTTTATTAAAATATATTTTTGACCACGCCTCAATAACTTGTTTTAAGACATTTTGAGCCCATTTTTCAATAAATAGGTTAATTGACTTTAGGCTTGATTTTGGTTGCTTTGGTGTCTTGTTTTTATTGATTTTCAAATTTTTACATTTGCATGTCTGCTGTGACAATTATACAACATATTTCACCATTGAAATACGTGGGTCCGCTTTTCCTGTTTTCGACAGTCTGATGTGCTTTTCTTACACGGATGCTGCGGGGGAGCCAACAAAGTATAACTTTAATAAAGTAAGTTAATTCTGGAATAAGGTAGGGTTTTGAGAAATACATACATAACTCGTTATTTTACTTATGTCGTTATTATTCGCTAAAATCAGTCGGTTTCTGGAAACCCACCCCAAACTGGTAAATGAACGGCGAATTACTTAAATTTAGCAGTGAGACGTAATGGTTATATATTATTAATCATAATCGTGGTGTACATCTGTCAAATTATTTTTGTTGGCATATATACTTTTAAGTTTCGCGGACACAGGAAACCGTTCGACTGTATAAAGAGACCAGGTGCTGACGTTCTCATATAATTTAAGTTTCGTTTCCTCACTCCGCGGAGGTTGCTGTAATAAACGGTACTTAAGTGCGTACTTCCGTCATTATCTGTGCGAGTTGTCTTGAGTACTGCAGGTCATCAAGTATGGGAACGAAATTTAAGAGATCTCGTGAAGGCGGACTACGTTTCATTGACTACCTTTTGACGACCGGGGAAAAATGGGAAAATAAAAAACAACTTAAAGAAATCTACAACAAGGACTTTAGAAACAGGTTAACACTTTTACTGCAACTCAAACTCTCTCTCTCTCTCTCTCTCTCTCTCTATATATATATATATATATATATATATATATATACACATATATATATATATAAACACACACACACACACACAGAGCATTTATCGATAGTGATAATTCATCTGTTACTCATCGATAGTGATAATTCATCTGTTACTCAACAGGGATGGAGTCAGTTATCCGAATTTCTCAAGTGTTCTTTATGTTCTGGTGAGGTCCGGCAAAGCTACTGTGCGTGGAGAATGGGTAAGTAAAAACAGTAATCATATTTGCATTATATAAAATAACATTTAATAAGGCCTGTCTAATGGAACTCTCAATATTATTACGAAATACAAGTTTAAAATTATATGGGTAAGACAAGCGCTATTGTGAAACATATATTTTATTTAATTTAATATAAAACGACACAATTAATTATTGAAATATTTATTTATTCGTGTATTTATTTATATACGTATATATTTATTTCATTTTGAGCGTTCCATACCTATACACCTTTTAATCACTGGTAGGCGTAGTGGAACACGCTGGAAGGGATGTACACCATACTTACATAGACATTGAAACCCCATTCGAAGTTTAGAGATGGCATTCTCTAATTTTTTTGTACTGCGGGAGGAAACCACAATACCCAGAAGGACCCTGTGTAACATACAAGGAGTTTGTAAACACCATGCACATAGGATTGCAGTGGTTTTTGAAAACGTAGCCCTGGAGCTGTGAACATGGATTTTTCACAATGATTTGCCATAGAAGTGTTATGCCGAAAAAGGCATCCCAGCCATAAAATGCATGCCTGTCACTAAATGACCGTTTGGTCGCTGATCTGAAACCAGTTGAGCTACTTTGTCGAGTTTGCAACTCCAGCAGCAACGCACCATATGTTTCCGTTTTACAACTGTCTGGGTCAGGGCGCCCTTGCCCTGCCGGCACGCTGGTCAGTGTTGGAATCAACTGCTCCACCGAGTCCGTTGATGAGAAAATGATCGTTTCTGGAGACGTGGTATAAGTAATACATGAAACTTTATTACTGTTACCAAAGCTTTGGGGAACAGTCACTCAGCAGTCTTTCATGCGTCTTGTAAGCTGCTCTCCGAACAACAGGTGGATACATCCTTTATAGGCAAAAAAGTTGCAACACATCAGCAAAGAATTGCGACATATCAGCATATTAATTATTGAGCATCTTGTGATCAATAGGGGGAGGTGACTGGGCAGTGGGAATTAGTCTGTGGTCACCTTACTATTGGTGATCATCAGGGCAGGGGTGACTGGGCAGTAGAATTTAGACTGTGGATACCCTGTTATCAGTGATCATCAGGACAATACCAGAATTAACCTTCCCTGCAGCCGTCACCTGAGGCTGTTATCGCCCTTGCATCTCACTTGTCCCTCAAGCCCCCCCTCCCCGTGGCTATTTGTATTGTTTTATGTTGTAACAGCTTACTTCTCAAACTTAGATCTATACCTTAGTTTGAGCCTCTTGCGACATACTAGTTCCGCACTTTAAGCATTACAGCCTGCTACAGAATCATTGCATCATCAGAAGTTTGAAACAGTAAGGTTATATAATAATCATACAATTATATATATATGCATCTCCGTTTAACAATTACTTCTGGTAATGGTTTCAAGCAGACAGGTGTTTCCTGTTATTTTAGCAAGCTCTAAGTCGCATATACATGTTCTACCTTACGCCGTCTACACCCTCACGCACACCCTGTCATCCTGACCTCCTCGCCTCTGCCATTTTCCGCCTCCCACGCTCCCAATCGCATTATCTAGGTGTCCATTATGGCTCTGTTCACACCTGGTAACTGACCGCTTGTAATCGGATCTCATTTTGCGCATTTCCCAAACCACCTAAAATGTTTGTACGGAATGCCATAATACTCAAAACGTAATAAATATAAATGAATGAATGAATGAATATTTTAATATATTAATGTGTCCTTTTACGTTTGAATAATTCCCTAAAGGTATTATATTTCATAAAGTTTGTCTTCTTTAGTTCTTTATTAAGAAATATCAACATATCAGTATTAAATCTTCTTTCAAATTATATATGTAGATAAAGGTGATGAAATTGCATCTATACAAAAAAAAGAAACAAATTCACTTATTTACGAAAAGAAATTAACTAAGATGCCAAATTCCACTGAGGAAAAATTCAGGTCATTCATCATTATTTAAAATACCTAGAATTAGATTCAGGTGCACCATATCAGGTGAAAATAATTAGAACATTGTTACAGAGCTTTTTGGTGGAGCCCGTCTTATTTAAACCACAGACATTTAGTTTGGTTTGTTCTTGTTGAAATGAGTGGTATAACCATGGTGAGATGCAAAGAGCTCTCACCAGACACAGAAAACCCACAAAGCTACAGATAAGTGGGGGCTGTTTGCAGGAAGCCAGACCCATGAAATAAGGACTGTATAAAGTACATATGCCTCATACTTAGAAGATGCAGGCTGCATATATTGTATGTGCCCCGCCCCAGCCAGTTTCATCTGATTCTGGGAGGGGACGCAAGCAATCTGTGTATCACTATGAAGGGGATGTCAACTTAAAGTTCGGTAACCAAAGAGATTTCAGAGAGGTGGCTGCTCCCTGAGCTCAGAAAATAAAGCTACGTTATAACCTGAAGTACCGACTGAGTGTCTTAAATTTCTGTCTCAGGGTTAATATTTCTATTTTTCATTTAGATATTTCTTTAGCTATATGTGAATGAGGCGGTCCGTCGCGCGCTTCTGTGATGTCTTAACTGCATAATTTACATCTTCCGCAAAGTCATTCTCTACAATGAGAGTACGTCTCCGGTCAGATGATATGCTTTCCGGAGTTTTCTTCAGTGTCTGGCATTGGATGTCGGCTTCAAAGTTTATTGGGATTCCTAAATATTTTATATACTTTTGTAGTAAATCATCACCACGCCTTCCCAGGTCGTCGTAAAAACTATTATATTTTGTCCGATTTACATATTATAGCCAGTTGAGTTCGGAGTGGTGAGGACATTTTGCACCGCTCGGTCAGCACAGTTACAAGTAGTGAAGTAGAGAGTAAAGGGCAGACAACTGCAGAGCCGAACGGACTTTACTCAGAAAGAAGGGGTGAGGGAGAAGACTATCGATACTGAACTGAACGATATTGTGATATTAGTCACATTTGTGCTGTTACGCGTCCGAGTGATTTAAAACTGAAATTGTTTTTCTTTATTGTTTTGTATGTACTTCAAGTTTTTTTTTTTTTTGTTAAATACACATATACCGATGTCGCATTAAAAATCATATCCCAAACCCTCTTTATCCATTGCGGCTCTGTAAATCTTGGGTCAGACATTTAGGATGAAATGGCTCTTTGCTTTAAAAGGGTTGCCGACCTTTAACCTAGACAAAGACCGACACATTTGGAACAATGTGCTTTGGACAGATGAATCTAAAATGTAATTATTTGGGCGCAGTAACAAAGGACACTTTTGGCGTGAACCAACAACAACTTTTGAGCCAACTTGCCAACTGTGAAGCATGGGATAGAAATGTTATGGTTTGGAAATAGAGAAAATAGAGAGTTCTGGAATGGTCAAGTCAAAGCCTGGATCTGAATCCTATTGAGATGCTCTTGGGTGATTTGAAGCGGAAGTGCATGCAAGACACCTTTCAAACATCACACCGCTTAAGGAATTCTGCATTGGAGAGTGGGGAAAACTTTCTGCCGGTTGGTGTCAGAGATTGATAGATCGTTATAGGAAACATCTCACTGAGGTTATTTCAACCAAAGGGGAACATACTAGCTATTAGGGCACAGGGTGTCATAACTTTTTCCTCAGTAGGAATTGGCATCTTAGTTAATTTCCTTTGTTAAATAAGTTTGTTTCTTGTAATTGCAAGACTTTGCAAAAACATCACCTTTATCTAAAGATATAATTTTAAAGAAGATTTAATACTGATATTTTGATATTTCTTAATAAATATAGTGACTAAGGTCCTCCATCTTTGCTAGGTGCAGTTGGTCTTCCCGAACCAAAGGAGGAGCCCCTACAGGCAGAATCAGCCCAGCAGCGTGCCTGGAGCACATGAGGTCTCTCAAGCAGCATCCAGTGCTGAAGTGGCTCCTGCTTTGCTGGATCTGGACCAGAGAAGCGGGTACCTCCTTCAGGACCAAGTGAAAAAAATGTAGACATTCCTCAAAGGAGCAGGAGTTCCGTAAATCTCATTCAGTATCGATCTCCCTGATAAGTATATACAACGACATAGACATTTACTATACAGCATCTGTGCCTGAGATCAGAAGGTTGCTAGTTCATGCCCGGCCCCAGCAAAATAGTCATATGAGGAAGGGCCTTAACCCCCAGCTCCCTGGGAACCACAAGGTGGCTGCCTTTTGCTGTGAGCCCCCCACCCCCCATCTGTATGGAGAGCAAGTTGGGGCAAAGCAAAAAGAGAATTTCCACACAGGGATTAATACAGTATCACTATTCTAAAACATTCATCAAAAGTTTCTAGGTCTGAATAGGGTTGGTTTTTTGGCGCTTGCAGAAACAGGAGTGTGAATTAAATCTATAACAAATATGATGCTTTTATATATACTGTAAGATGCCTGACAGGAGAAATTGACACTGTTGAAAATGCAGATTTTTATGACATGATTTCTTTTACTTGATCTTATTCATTCTTATGACATTTACTGGCTGTCACCGTAAACTGTCCTCGGGTATCCCTGTCATAACTAAATGTTGTGCTGTATCTATAGGCAGTACATCTCTGATGATAAGAGCATTAAGATCACTTCAGAGCCCGAGATTGTGGACGGCAAGATTCAGCACACTTTCCACGCTCTCCAAAAGGTGTACATTGTCAAGCTGTTTATTCAGAACACAAGCACAGGCTTGGTGCAACTCACCAACACCAGCATTTCACAATGGACACATTATTACAAGCTTACAGATGGGTCTAAGGTGACTGATGCTCATCCTCTGCAGCTTCATCCAGGTATGGAACACTAATGACTTTATATAGAAGGTCTACAGTCATGGCTGAAATTATTGGCAGCCCTGGAATTTTTCCAGAAAATGCACCATTTCTCCCAGAAAATTGTTGCAATTAGAAATGTTTTGGTATACACATGTTTATTTCCTTTATGTACATTGGATCAACACAAAAAAAGCGAAATTTGACATAATTTCACACAGAACTACAAAAATGGGCCAGACAAAATTATTGGCACCTTTTCAAAATTGTGGGTAAATCGTTTTATTTCAAGCATATGATGCTCATTTGAACTCACCTGTGGCAAGAAACATGTGCTGGCAATATTGCAATCATACCTGAAGCAGGTTAAAATGGAGAAAAGCTGACTCAACCTTTCTGTTGTGTGTCTGTGTGTGCCACACTAAGCATGGAGAACAGAAAGAAGAGCAGAGAATTGTCTGAGAACTTGAGAACAAAAATTGTGGAAAAATATCAACAATCTCAAGGCTACAAGTCCATCTCCAGAGATCTTCATGTTCCTTTGTCCACTATGCGCAACATAATCCAGAAGTTCATAACACATGGTTCTGTAGCTAATCTCCCTAAGAGAAAAACTGATAAAATACTGCAACGAAGAATAATCCAAATGGTGGATAAACAGCTTCACTCAAATTCTAAACAAATTCAAGCTGTTCTGCAGACTCGGGGTGCAACAGTGTCAGCTTGAACTATGAAATTAAACACTATGGCAGGAGTCCCAGCAGGACCCCACTGCTGACACAGAAACATAAAAAAGCCAGACTGCAGTTTGCCAAAATGTACTTGAGGAAGCCAAAATCCTTCTGGGAGAACTTCTTGTGGACAAATGAGACCAAGGTAGAGCTTTTTGGTAAAGCTCATCATTCTACTGTTTACAGAAAACGGAATGAGGCCTACAAAGAAAAGAACACAGTACCTACAGTCAAACATGGTGGAGGTTCTAAGATGTTTTGGGGATGTTTTGCTGCTAGGAATAATGAAATCTGAAGACTACCAAAAGATTTTGGGGTGCAATGTAGGGCCCAGTGTCAGAAAGCTGGGTCTGCGTCAGAGGTCATGGGGTGTTCCAGTAGGACAATGACCCCAAACATACCTCTAAAAGCACCCAGCAATGGTTGAAGACAAAGCATTGGAGAATTCTGAAGTGGCCAGTAATGAGTCCGGATCTAAATCCGATTGAACACTTATGGAGAGATCTCAGAATTGCTGCTGGGAGAAGGCACCCTTCAAATCTGAGAGACCTTGAGCAGTTTGCAAAAGAAAAGTGGTCAAAAATTCCAGTTGAGAGGTGTAACAAGCTTGTTGATGGTTATAGGAATCGACTTATTTCATATTTTTTTCCAAATTGCGTGCAACCAAATATTATGTTGAGGGTGCCAATAATTTTGTCCGGCCCAGTTTTTGAGTTTTGTGTGAAATGATGTCAAATTTGGCTTTTTTCTGTTTTTTTTGTGTTGTTCCGATTCACATAAAGGAAATAAACATGTATATAGCAAAACATTTGTAATTGTAACAATTTTCTGGGAGAAATGGTGCATTTTCAGGAAAAATTCCAGGGGTGTCATACAGTCATGACTGTATGTGTGCTAGGAATGTAAGTACCTATATATTTTTACAATAAGAATGGTGACATTTTCTTTCCTTGTTCATACTCTGCTTTTTGATTCTGTGTGGTTCCGTATCTAAAAATCAGGTTTGTTCACTTTCTCTTTAATTTTCTTTCAACAGAACACACCCAAGAAGTCAAGGTCGAATTTCAGTCTGACCACTATGGTGTCGTTCCAGCCACTTTGGACTTTGAGTTCCAGAGGGGTCCCCTTGGAAGCGAAAAGCCTTTTCGGATTACTTGCTCGTTAGAGGCCAATTTCCAGGGTCATCTGGCAGCAGGCCTGGGACCCATTGCACCCTACAAACCAGCGCAGCCCCCTAAACAAAGCGATGTGGTGCCAATGGCGGAAGAAGGGGTGAAACCAGACAGGTAGGGTCTAGGGTCAGCTAAGGCTTCTACTGCTGCAGATAGGAAGCAGGTGAAGTGATGGTGCAGGCATGATGCGGATTACGTCAAGATGTGCAAATTAGTTGGGTGTAAGATTACTAAGCCTGTAACATAATTATTAAGTCTTTGATGGGGACAGTTAGTTCTTCTGATAAGTTTTAATTACCCATAGTTAGCAGTTGCGTGTCTTGTGATCCAGTGTGTTGTCTTGAGCTCCCTGGCTCCGGGCGTGTTCTAACTCTGTGGCAGTGATGCACGGATCGCAGTTATATCTGCGGGCACTGTAGTTAATCAGCGGATCAGGCGGGCCGAGTTGTTAAAAATTAACATTCTGATTCATAGCGGATGGGGTTGCGGGTGGATGAAATATATCATAAATGAGTAAAATATTAAGTCCATGTTGCAAATGTGAATATATTTAAGATTCGTTTCATTCAGGTAAGAATTAGCAGACTAGGCCCTTGTTGTGGTTAGCACTGCTCCCTTACACCTCCAGAGTTCCACATGTGTGGAGTTTGCGTGTTCTCCCTGTGTCATTGTGGGGTTTCCTCTGGGTATTCTACTTTCCCCCCACAGTCCAAAAGCATGCTGAGTTTAATTGGAGCTACCAAACTGCCTTTAGGTGAGTGTACTTCGTGATAGGTTGGCGCCCACTCTAGCTTGTTCCCTGCCTCGTACCTATTGGCTCCAGACCGCTGTGATCCTGAAGTGGTTACAGAAAATGGATGGACTCTCACTGCAAGATCCATTTGAGTAACAGAGGCAAACATTTCTGAGAGTAAATCAAACAAAAAGGAGAAAAAACAGAGTATGATCTGAAAAGTTTTGTGTGGGAGTGATTTAGTGAAACAGCATATTATTAGTATTCTTTATTGTTTGTATTTGGGAAGTTGCAGTGACATACAGAATTTTATTTTGATGAGAATTGATTATTGATTATGCCAGAAGGCATTATGTTTTATTACTTATTTAATTTGGGGAGCAGCCAAATGTTATTAGCTTTTAAAGTGTTTGTGTTCGGGAAGTTGCAGTGACATTTAGAATTTAGTGTGAATACCTGTTGCTGTTTTTATTTTGCCAAAAAAAAACAACTTTGACTTTAATCAGTCTTTAACTTTATTTATATAGCTCTTTTTAACCACAGGTTTTACCAAGTGCTTTACAGACTTTTTAAAGACAGTGGTTCTCAATCCTGTTCCTAAAGCTCCCCCCTGCCAGAATATTTTCATTCCAACCCTACGTTAATCAGGCATATATGGTCTTTAATCGGCTAATAATGAATGTGGCGGGTTGGAATGAAAACATTCTGGCGGGGGTGGAGGTGTCAGAAACAGGATTGAGGACCACTTAAAAGATTGTTTATTTGTTTAAAACCAGCTCAATTCAGTGTTGTATCATTGCTCTTAATCCCACTGCGAAATACTGGTCTAAATAAGAGAAAATAATTTGCTCAGGTGGGTGGCTGGATGGGTGGGTGGCTGGATGGGTGGGTGGCAATCCCTGTCACTCAGACTGAGATTTAATATGTATAAAAGGCATGCATTTATTTCTAACACTACAACTAACACACGACAGACATTACACTTAACACAAAACAAACACAAAATAACAGAATAAAATCAATGAGCAGGATGGAATATGGGAAGACGGTAACTAAATTTAAATGGGTACCCTTAAAGGAAAATACACAGCTAGCCCTCAATTTTAGAAGCACGACCCAGAATTATAAAACAGATGAACAGCGCAGGTTAGATTTTCAAATGAATGAAAGGGAGTTTACATGGTTGCGGATGGAGTCTCATATGCGACTCTGGAAGTTTGTTGATGATCGAGAGATGGCGTTCAGGTGTGGGGGCGGGGGGGTTGAGTGAAGTCTGCAGTGCAATTCTCTGCATGGTGCGTCTTTGATGTTCTGTCTTGCAGCTTTTCATAGTCTGCGGCTTTTTCTTCCTCCTTTGTGCAGCTGTTCTGCTCACGGGTATATTCAGTCTAGATATTTATATTGACAAATGACTGTCACTTACACAATACACGCAGCAGGCAAATCTGAAAAAGGGCCTTCTGTCTTTGAGGAACTGTGTGTGAGGAAGGAGGGGTGGTGCATGTTGGATTCTTAAAACACCAGCACTCTTTGTTTCACTCTTATCAGTACTTATGTGTGCATCCCCCTCTAGACTGTGGGGGGGGGGGAGTACCAGCCTGCACCAATCAGCATCTTTAAATCAAGGCCTAGGTTGTTATTCCAGGTTTCTAACCATAAAACCATAAAACTTGGAATGCTGGCCTTCCTTTGCCTTGTTATCTGAATTGCCTTGAGTGTGTGTGTGTGTGTGTGTGTGTGTGAGTGAGATCCTACATATAATAAAATATTTTTGTGCTATATGCTTAAACTGCAAACATGCCATCCAGCCAAGGCATCAGAACGGAACGTGGGTTGACCTTCAGTATTCTTTTCGTTCTGTGACCTGCTGCTCTTCTGATCTTTCACCTACTTTATGACCCAGCATCTCTTCCTGCTCTGTTTAATCTCTTTGCCATGGAATGTCATAAATTCCTCAGCTTCCTTTGAAATACTTATAAGCAACAATATTTCATTTAGTGAAGTCCTTTGTATGCTTCTTTTTACACAAATATATATTGCAATTACATTTCATTTGTATTATAAATGTATTGTATTATGCATTATAGAGTGTTGTTATAGGCTCACGCTGCTTCATAGGCTTTTTAACCTAAGTGGTCCTGCTGCACTACATCTGATCTGCAAGACCCTAGCAGTAACAGTTCCCTGTCTTGCAGACACAGGTGCTGCAGGCAAGCGTCAGTCAGTAAATATAGATGCAAATAACTTTCCAAGTGAATTTCTCTCTTAACAGAAAGAGATTAAACTTCTTTCTAATGGAAATTTTCATCACCAAAAAAAGTATTTTTTTTGCATGTTTATTTCTGTTTAGCTGAATTAGTTATTTGGGTTGATGAAACTGTAGATGAGCTTTTTGGGTTTGTCAGTTAGGGTGCAATGTAAAAACAGGGGTATTGAGTATACCTGTGTTTAAGTAGCCTTTTCAAGTTGAGGTCATGCAGTCTGTTCTCTCTCTTCTCTTTCCAATAGTTCGGCTGAGAATAATTTGCAAACTGTTGTGCAATTATACGCCTATCAGTGCCCCGAGTACCTGTCAGACCTGATTAAGTTCCTGAAAAGGGGACAATTCATTTCAAGAGGGTCAAATAAATTTCAGACCAGCAAGTAAGTAATGCAGAACTTGTGTCTTTCACCATGAGTCATAGAGATCACTGAAGTGCAATATTATGCTAAAATGTCCTGCTGTGCCCCTAAAACCCAAGCAAACCCAAGCAAGTTGCCAAACCTGAATTGCTTCTATAAATATTCAGTCATGTAACAGAAAAAGTTAAAATTGAGCAAATATTTTAAATATTTTTTTGGATGTCAAAAATGTAATAATATGCATTTCAGCTCCTAAGATGCTTTGTTCGCAGTGGAGAGCACTGTAGGCTCACATCTCCATGGTTCTGAGTTTGCTTCTCACCTGTGTGGTGTCTTCATTTTGCCCAGGTTTCCTCTGGGTGCTACGCTTTATGTGAGCTCTTAAGTGTTTAGCATCCTGTCCACAATGTCTTGGGAACAGGCCTAGGCTCCGGGCTTAGTGCAACTCTCTACTGGATAAGCTGTTATGGAAAATGCTTCTAATGATTGCTGTTACTCTTGTCCTTCTAACTTGCAAATCTGAAAGACAATTTTACTTTGTCCACCATTGGACTATTTGCAAAGAAAGATTGTCTAGTTACTGTACTATCAGCATGAAGGCCATCCTGTTTGCGTTTAAGATGTTGATGTTTACAAGAAGCATAGAGATTGAGACTGGAAGTTCTGTCAGGCTGCTGCTTTTATATAAATAACAAAATAATAATGTTATGTATTACTCAAGGTCTATTCTGCAGAGTCGCCTCGACTTCCAGAACTACTCACAGCGCTTCAAGCTTCTGCTCCACCTGGAGGAGTATCAGATGAATAAAGACATCATGAAGTACAGCATGGAAAATGTAACCATGACCCAGGATAGAAACAAAAATTATCTGCTTGTTCTTGATGTGAGTTAGTTGAGATTGTCTTATTATATGAACTTGTTTCTGCAAAAAGGTAATGTCTTATTCTTGACTGGTCTTAAGAGGTTTCTATGATATTTTCAATCAGAATTACAGTGGTACCTCAGAACTCGAACTTAATCCGTTCAGAACTGTGGTTCGAATCCTAAAAAGTTCGATTTCTGATCGAATTTTCCCCAAAAGAAGTAATGGAAAACCAATTAATTGGTTCCCGGCCCCAAAAAATTACACCTAAATATGTATTTTTTTCTTTTGTAGTTTGTTTACCCTGTCCGGTCATTGCATTGTCCGTCTGCGTTTTGCCTACCTTACCTGTAATTAAACCCCGTATTCCCCGATACCCTGACATCTGCGTCTTTGTCTCCGTTCTGTCCCTGCTCAGCATGACAATATTATTATAATTATATGTTTTAATGGTTTATTATTAATGGTATTAAAATAATTCATTAATAAGAAATCTTTATTTTTAAATGTATTTTATTATATAATAATAATTACTGTTACTATCATTGTCTAAATGTCTTTTTACTGTCTAAATATATGTATTCAGCTAGTGTAAACATGCATGATGCTATCACAGCAAATGCGAGGCTGAGACTGAAGCGTTACTCTTTGTTTCCACTGAGAGACGTGCCGCATGACTCATTTCCTGGCGCGTACAAGTTATGTTAGGTTGGCGTTCACGGTTCAACTTCTGAGATTCAGATCAAGTTGTAGGCCAATTTTTTTTTATTGGTTTGTTCAACTTTTAAGAAATTTGAGTTCTAATGAGTTTGAGAACTGAGGTACCACTGTATTGTTATAGCTACTCTACAGGTATGAGAAAGCATTGCAGGACATGCCTGCAGCTGGAACATGACAAACCAATTAGCTAAAATGTGAAGCAAAAATGTATTATGGTCTGGGGTTAAATCAGAATCAGACAGGAAGGGAGTCTTGTCAGGTACAGAGTTGGGGGGTGGGGGGGAGGTGAATAAGCTGCTCTGTACATTAGTTTATTAGTTATTGTATGTATTTATGATCACAATCTTAAGAATGCAGTACAGTATGTTAATTTGTCATCATGTGGTTTTACCTATCTAAAACAAACTAAAGAATGTGATCAAAAAGTTATTTTTATTTGATATCGGTATTAAACATATCGGTTAAGTAGTACTTGGATTTTTTTAATCATAACATGTAACTTAAAAAAGCATCAAAATGGCTTGTCACTACTAATACTCTTGCTTATTCATTTGTAATGTCCCTGTGAAAATGCATTAAAATATAAAGTTATTCATTGATTGCTTAATAGACATGTCTATAGACATGCACTCTGGTAGGGTGTAATTTGGACAAAATCAGATGGAGGCTTCGCCAGGCTCCATTTTTAAAAAAAAACTTTGATTATGAATCTTAATATCCTGAATGAAGCGGTAGCAAGTTTGGATATCTGAAGGTACCTAAAAATATTGATTTTGGGGAGGTAGTTGAGGGAGTTCAGGCATCTTAGAATGATACCACATGGTCAGATCCCAAGGTAGCTGTTCAGGAGACGTCTTACTGAATGACTGAATTCTCATTTCCAACCAGGTCCCGGGTTTGGCTGAAAACAGACCCTCTCTTCTGAGGGGGGATTGCATTTTGGCATCCAAAGCAGAAAACAGGGAGCCTCTCATTAAGTACAAGGGTTATGTGCATTGGGTGGAACTTAATAAAGTTCTCCTGGGATTCTCTGAGAAGTAAGAGCTAAACGTTTCACTCTCCATTGCCCGTACAGTATCTGTCTTTACTGCCCTTGGTGTAGATGTTATACAGGTAAATTTTGTGTAACAAATGTCCCTACAGTAAGTAAAATTCATGGCTGATTAATGAATCTTTCATGAAAGATCATTGGAGTAAAACCTCTTCCCTAGATCTCTAAACCTTGTTCATTATTGCAGTAAAGTTGATGTTGGCCACCTATTTATCAGTTATTCTCTTTGTTTATTTTAGTTATTGCCTCTGCAGCAAATCATGTGAGGCATTTAGGGTCTGTCTGTTCATAGGCTGCTGCGGAGCTTCATCAGCAACATGAGGTTCAACGTGGAGTTTACCATCAGCCGGCTGCTGCTGCGCCTGCAGCACCGTGCAGTGCAACTAGCAGAGCAGACCAACTTGGGAGAGGTGCTCTTCCCCACAGGACGAGATTCAAAGAATGTGCCCCTCCTTCCCCTACGGTTAGCCTCCCCTTTTTCCATGGTAGTTGGAAGACATGTTCAGCCTAAATCAATAAAAAAAAGTGGAAGTCTGAATAAAGTAATATCGGGTGCTGTCGGTATTGCTATTAAGAGGCATTGCTCCATAGGATCATAGGATTTAGTGTAGCTCCTAATGTGGGTTTGTGGAGCTGCATTTTCTCCTTGTGTCTGCATTGAACTCTGAATTGTTTTGGTCAATTAATGACTTAAAATAGTAGTAGTGTTTGTTTGTGTGGGTATTACTGTGAATGTACTGTGGTGGACAGTATCGTCTTAGCTTTTGTGCTTAAGATTGTAGAAGAAAAGTTTGAAGTAAGGCATGAGAGAACTGATCGAAATGTACATACACATCATGAAGCTTATTAATTTGACACGTAAAGTTGATTGATATACCAGTTACGAAGAGATTAAGCTGATAAAAACATGCAAGGGTGCTTTTGCATTAATGTTTAAAAAAAACAGAGATTGTTAAATAGTCAGTCCAAGTCTGTAAGGAAAAGGGCGACTGCCCAGAACAGCCCATTGGCATCCCCATGTCTTCTACCAACCCCAGTGCAAGACCCTGAAGGAGTAATCCTGTAGGTCCAGGATCCACCGTGTGACGTGTGTGTTCTTGGCCCAGGCCGTCCACAACATTGCCCCTAGGCCCACCGCTGAGGTGTCCATGTGCAGGCAAAACGACCGGCCAAACTTGGGAGCCTTTATCATTGGGTTGGACACCAAAGCCATTTTCAGGGAGTCAAAGACCCGCTCCACTTGATCACCCCAAACGCTGTCCCCTCTGGTAGTTCCCCGCCAGCCTGAGGAATCACCGTCCCCAATTCCAATACAAAACTGCCGATTCAGATTCCAATACAAGAGCGCTTTTTACTTGAACATTTTAATATAATAAATATATATGATAGAAATGTGTATACTTTATATATTATTAATATTCTTATACTAGTAAAATCAAATGAAAAAACGTATGCCAAAAAATCTTTAATTTGGCTACTGGAAACATACATGGGGGCGGAGTGGTTAGCACTGTTGCCTTCCATCTCTGGGACCAGGGTTCAAGTCCCCACCTGGAGTTTGCATGTTCTCCCCGTGTAGTCATGGGGTTTCCTCCAGGTACTCTGGTTTCCCCCCACAGTCCAAGGACATGCTGTGTTTGGAAAATAGCTGGCTGGAAACATCCACAACATGTCACTTTGTTGCAATAGCAGTCCCTCATGTATCACAAGCACAGCCCAAGCTGTTGTGGTAGAACCATTGGGTTTTTGGGACCATCACTATTGGGCTGTACACTTTTCTGTGACTAATACTGTGTCCATTTTGCTGACCCACCAACTTCCCCTCTTCCCCCAACCGTTCCCATATTACTGCTTTAAATGTCCTCGGGGGGGGGGAGGGAGTCATGGCCAGCTGATTGCCATCCATGGGGTGCTTGTTTAGTCCCTGCACATGTCTGGCTGCAGCGTTTCATGGGTTGGTCGCTCTCGGAGGTGGCGGTGGGCAGTTCGAGATCCCGCAACACTCCGTTTGAATGAATAAACTAACCTAGCAATGAATGAAACTCCACCTGCCTGTTGTTTGATTGTTAACCTGTCGAGATCTAATACTTTTTCCACCACAAGATACAGGTGGCTCTGATATCTACATGGGTAAACTATCAATGAGTACATTGTTTATTTATTAATTAAAAATTGTTAAATTACTACTGCTGTAAGCTAGTGATGAACATTAGTGGTACACAGAATGGGTACATGTTGTGTTCATTTCAGCAGATATTTTTATTGTATCACTGAAGTTTGCATATATTAAATTTTATTGGTCAGTTTATGTACAGAAATCTGGTGAAGCCAAAATATTGAACCAAACTCTGTTGGCAGCTTGATCCTAGAGAAAGGCACTGTGGGTTTTTAAGGACATATTTTGTTTGATGAAAAGTTGCTTGGACAGCAACCATATTGGAAATGTCAGTTAACAGATTTCTCTTGGTGTCCCTGCAGTTTATTTGACGAAAAGTTAGGGAAAAATGAGGAACAGCGTTCTGCAATCAGGCACATTGTGTCTGGGTCGTCCCGGCCAGCACCCTACATCGTGTTCGGCCCTCCTGGAACCGGCAAGACGGTTACCTTAGTTGAAGCCATCAAACAGGTTTACTACCTTTTTAATTTACTGTTCTATCATCAATCTATCACGTTTGAATATTCCATGTTTATCTTCAACAAATTATTGTAAGTCTACGATGGGTAGGTTCCTGGTTCCTGATGGGTAGGTTCTAGTTTCCGGGATAGGCTAAGGACCATCATGACCCTGAATGGGGCAAGCAGGTACAGGAGATGGATAGATGGATGGAAATTACTATAAGTAATTTTATTTATTGTTTATTGTACGAAGGACACATACACACATATAAAAACACAGACTATACACTGTAGCACAATACAAATAATAGCAGTTATATACTGCTGAATAACATCTTGCTGCATGTACACATGTTGTACACTGTATCATACTGCTTCATATCTGTGTATGCTTGTGTGCCCATCTCAGGTGGCGAAAAACAAGTCTGCACACATTCTCGCCTGCGCCCCCAGCAATAGTGCTGCAGACCTGCTCTGTGAGCGCCTACTGGGGGACCACCTGGAACGGCGCAATGTGTACCGTCTGTATGCCAGCTCCGTGGACCCAAAAAACATTCCGAACAAACTGCAGGTAAGGCTCTTTCAGCACAAATTAGGCAGGGTCAGGGTTCTGTGAAGACCAGTCAAGTTCCTCCACACCAGACTTGCTCATCCATGTCCTTATGGACCTTGCTTTGTGCACTGGTACACAGTGATGTTAGAACAGTAAGGGGCCATCCCCAAACAGTTCCCACAAAGTTGGGAGCATGAAATTGTCCAAAATGGCTTAGAATGCTGCAGCATTAAAAGTTACTTTCACTGGAACTAAGGGGCCAAGCCCAGCCCATGAGAAACAACCCCACACCATAATCCCCCCTCCAACAAACTTTACACTTGGCACAATCCAGTCAGGCAAGTGTCGTTCTCCTGGCAATCCTAGACTCATCCATCGGATTGCCAGACAGAGAAGTGTGACTCTTCACTTCAGAGAACATGTCTCCACTGCTCTAGAGTCCAGTGGCAGCGTGCATTACACCACTGTATCGGATGCTTTGCATTGCACTTGATGATGTAAAGCTTGGATGCAGCTGCTCGACCATGGCAACCCATTCCATGAAGTTCTCTACACACTGTTCTTGAACTAATCTGAAGGCCACGCAAAATTTGGAGGTCTGTAGCTATTCACTCGGCAGATGGCAACTTCTGCACACTGTGCGCCTCAGCATACGTTGTCCCTGCTCTGTGATTTTATGTAGCCTACCACTTCGTGGCTGAGTTGCTGTTGTTCCCAATTCCTTCCACTTTGTTATAATCCACTAATAGTTGACCGTGGAATATTTAGTAGTGAGGAAATTTCAAATTCAATTTTCAAATTTCATCTACAGGGGGATAACACTGCTTTCAGTGCCGGGTAAGGTCCTGGTTAGGGTCATCCTTAACAGGATCCGTGATCACTTGCTTGCCTATCAGTGACTGGAGCAGTCTGGTTTTACACCTAAGAAGTCTACCATTGACCGTATCCTTGCACTGAGGGTTCTCATCGAGCGCAAGTGCGAATATCGGCAGAGGTTCTTTGCAGCCTTTGTCAATTTTCGTAAAGTGTTCGACTCAGTTGATTGAGTTGCTCTGTTGGACATTCTGAGACTTCACGGGATCCCCCCGAACTTACTGGATATCATGACTGGCCTGTACACAGGTACTCTGAGTGCTGTGCAGAGTGGAGAGAGAACCTCCGCGTTCTTCCCAGTTGATTCTGGGGTTCTCCAGGGGTGGGTTCTTGCTCCTACTCTGTTCAATGCTTGTATGGACTGGATGTTGGGCAGGGTCTTGGGGTCCAGCGGCTGTGAGGCGTCTGTTGGTGAAGAAAGGTTTACTGATCTTGACTTTGCCGACGATGCCGTGATCTTAGCGGAGTCAATGGAGGTTCTGATCGGGGCTCTCGAGAGACTGAGCAAGGAGTCTGAGTGTCTGTGATTGTGGGTGCCCTGAATAAAGACCAAGATCCAGGCATTTAATGACTTCTTTGGCACAGCCATCAGTAGTGTGTCTGTCTGCGGGGAGAATGTCGACCTTGTCGAGAGATTTACTTACCTCGGCAGTGACATTCATGACATTCATGGATTGGAAGAGCATGGAGGGTCATGAGGTTGCTGGAAAGGGGTGTGTGGTGTTCCTGATGTCTTTGCAACAGGACGAAGGTCCAAGTCTTTAGAGTCCTGGTGCTCCCTGTCTTGCTGTATGGCTGTGGGACATGGATGCTATCCAGTGACCTGAGACGAAGACTGGACTCCTTTGGTACTGTGTCTCTTCAGAGAATCTTTGGGTACCGCTGGTTTGACTTTGTGTCAAATGAGCGGTTGCTAGAGGAGTCCTGAATGAGGCACATTACCTGCATTGTGAGGGAGCATCAGTTACGGCACTACGGCCATGTGGCACATTTCTCTGAGGGTGATCTGGGTCACAGGATCCTCAATGCTGAGGACCCAAGTGCCTGGACCAGGCCAAGGGGACGCCCACGTAACACCTGGCTGCGGCAGATGGATGGCCATTTGCAGAGGGTGGGACTGGAGCGTGTGTCTGCCTGGGGGGGTCGCCGGTCGGGATCCCGAGGAGTTTCGCTGCGTGGTGGGTGTGGCAACGTGCTGCATCAGCACATGCTCCCCAACCTGACCTGACCTGACCTGTCAGTTTGAGCAAAAAATTGACTAGAGTGATATTTTTGTAAACAGCTTTGAAATGTATTTTTATACTAATGCAAGAGTTCCTGTGTGTTAAACAGTTAACAAGAATGTAAGCTAAAGACATTTAAGAGTTAACCTTAGTGTGACAATATCAGTAGAACTTTGAGCTCGTTAGAATTTGCAGAAATGCAGGCTGGAGAACAAAGGTGAGTCTGGAGCGCGTCTATCAGACAACAACAGGAAGACACGCACGAGACAGGGGGCTGCGTGCAAAGCGCATATGAGGATATAGACTGCATAAAGTATATACATGCTGGCAAGATGCAAACTGCAAAAGCATATATGTTAGGGTGTTTGTGCCCCACCCCATCTGGATTAATCTGGCTCGAGGGATGCAAACTATCTGTGTGCCACTATAAAAGGTATGTCAACCAAAAGTTCTTTGAGCATAGCCACGGAACTGACAGTGAAGTGGCTGTTCCCTGAATTCGGAAAATAAAACGATGTCATACTCTGCAACACCAACTAAATCTAATAAATTTCTACCACACATTATTGCACAGGTAGCATCCTATCATGGTACCACGCCTTAATCCACTGAGCTCCTGAGAGCGACCCATTCTTTCGCATGTGTTTGTAGAAGCAGTCTGCATGCCTAGGTGCTTGATTTTATATACCTGTGGCTATGGAAGTGATTGGAACACCTGAATTCAATGATTTGGAGGGGTGTCCCAATACTTTTGGCAATATAGTGTACCTCGCCACTAAGACCCTTAGCAACCCACTTAGCAACCCTATTATACTGTGAAAGAACAGTGCTCTTGGTTTTGGTCAATGAAAGCAAACAGAACTGGGTGAAATGAGCTTAGCAAAATCAGATGGGGGATGAAAATAAATCAGATCTCGGGCAGGCAAGACTTGGGACCAAGAAAGGGCAATGAGGTTTGAGCAGGATTACTGACCCAAGAGGAAAGAATCCTAAAATTTTATAAGGGCTGGAAACGAGGAGCAGATTAACTGTGAATGCATATGCTGGTCACCAGATTTTGTCTCACCACTCCCCCACCCCATAAATAGTAAACGTATGGCTGATGACATTGTTCCATTTGTTCATTTTTTAAAAACATATAAGGAAAACAAGGTGTATTCTCCCTTCATGTTCATAGTTTTATGTGCATAGAAAATTATTCATTTTAAATGCAAAAAATTAAAGGGTCATTCTCACAAACTCATTACTATACTCATTACTCATTACTTTAAGACAATGTATGCAATTTCATTGTGTAAACCATTGATTTTGCCTATATGGTAGCTAATCAGTTTTATTTTATTACCATGTATGTGTTTATATGTATGTGTGTGTGTGTGTGGTCCAGGTATACCTTACCTTGTGGGGACCAAATGTCCCCACAACGTGATGAATTACCTTTTTAACCTTATGGGGACCAGTTTCCCATTTGCGAAAACTATATTTTATAAAAATCTGTGACTGCAATGAAAAAACTAAAAATACAAAAACTCTTGTATTTTGTTTGATTACTTATGGTTATGGTTAGGGCAGGGTAGGGGTTAAGGTTGCCATAATTAGCATTAGCATTTTTCCCATAGAAATGAATGAGTGGTCCCCAAAAAGATATGATTACATGACTCTGTGTGTGTGTGTGTGTGTGTGTCTGTGTGTATACATGGTGTATATATTAAATCTTTGGACTGTGGGCATAAACCAGAATTCCTGGAGGAAACCACATGCAGTCTGCAAGAACAGTGGAGTGGAGTCAGTTTATATGTTAGATATTATAGTCAGTCAGTTCAAGTAATTATGTTAGGGTATTTAGTGGGGTTGTGAAAAATGCTCATTGACTGTAGTGAAAGTATATGATTTACTGGAGTAACAAGTTACACCGGACAAAATAAGCCAGTCTTAAAACATTCAGTTAATTCAGTTAATAATGATCTCTTCTGTGTTGTGTCAAACAGGAATGCTGTAACTTTGAAAATGATGGATTTGTGTTCCCTTCAAAGAAGACACTTATGACCTACAGTGTCCTGGTCACCACACTATACACTGCTGGACGGTAAGGCTGGTGATTGAGTCAGCGATACGTTTCACGCCTTGGGGATGCACTGGTGTATTTGTTAAGGAGCATAACTCTTACATAAAAGCCACAAATTCCAGTCCCAAAGGGGAGGCATCTGCTATACCCTCTGATGAGGCACTTAAAATCTACTCAGATTTCAGCCACTCTTAGTAAAGAAAAGATGCTTATATTAGTAAAAAATCAAACAAATCTGAACTTTGCACTTTATTTCAAGGACACAAACATAATCCACTATTTTTTTATTTTGGGGGTCGTGTGGCTCAGAAGATTAGGATGCTGTGGTTAGCAGTTCAAATCCGGTCATTGGAAAATGATGTCACTGTTAGGCCCTTGAACAAAACCCTTAACAGCAGTTGCTCCAGAGACTGGCTTACTTTGCATTCTCAATTGTATGTCGGTAACTTACATAACAGAAGGAAACAAACATTTTGAATTATGTCTTTTGTGTGGAGCTCAAATTGACCCCAGTAGTAGTTGTAGACTTTCTCAGAAAGACTTCAATAAATATTTAGCATGTGGAGACCTATGGTGAATTGCCTGCCCAACATCTTCCAGTCTCCTCCAATTTGTCCAGCTAACAGTTGTTCCCCACAGATTTGTGACCGGAGGCTTTCCCATGAACCACTTCACCTACATTTTTGTGGATGAGGCTGGTCAGGCCACAGAGCCAGAGACCATCATTAGCATAGCAGGTAAGGGCTGCTGCACTGGCTCGCATAAGCAGTTTACTACAGAAGGATGCCTATTCAAGGGTTACCACTTACTGCTCGGAAATTCAGTCCAATATTGCATCTATTTCACAGAACACAGTACACCAATATATGTTTTAAGTGAACCATTTTCTCACAACCCTGACCAGGATAAATGGTTAGAAGATGTATGGTGGCAAACCATTTCTTTTAATGATTTACATTCCTCAAAAAAAATGCTGTACATGTGAACTCATACCTCCTCATTGCCCTGAATTTGTGTTTCATGAGTACCCTACAATTCATTAGTGTCATGTTTAGAATGCACCCAACCACATCTCTGTCTCTCTGGATAGGATACATATTATCGTAACCATAATTTAAGCAGGTGCAGGAAATGGACTGATTCATGATTTGGTGTAAAACCCATAACTTTCAGTTTAATTTCAGTTCCATAGGAGGTCACTGTTGAGTTATGGATCATTGTTGAGCGTACTCTAGTGTTTAAAGTTGAGGAAAATGTAATACTAGTATTCACTGATGTTGTAGTGTTTTTTTTTGTCAGATGTAAGTGCAAGACTTTTTTACTTTGTTAGTAAAGTGCCAGAGAATGGAAGAAATAAATTGAAATATAGCAAGTGTACAATTAAGGCCTAAGAAAAGACGTGAAAGACAGACCTTCACAAGATGTTGAGAGCAGTTTGAAGACCACCCATATTGAGAAATGGAGCAAAATAAACTGAGGATCTAGCTGGTGTGGAGGATTCATGATGCCAAACAAACAATCCTATCACTAGTTATGTTATTAGCAGCAGCTTGATAAATATGTACTGTACCTTTTCTTATCGGAGCTTAAACATTAGCATGACATTAGCATACATGCAGTACGTTCTGGAGACATTGCCGGAGCTGGTTTCATTTCTGAAGTGCTCTGTGGGAAGGCACCATTTTTACTATATAACAATAATGAGTGAAGATAAGGTATTTTGAAATAAAAAAAATCCATACACCTCGACAGACAGTCTTCATTAGGGTCTGCATTTAATACTGAGAGCACCAACCAATGCATGGACTCCATACAGCAGTGTGAAGCTGATGACTGCTATTTCAAAGCCTTTACATGATCTGAAGCTTTGTTAAATATTTTATTTGAATCATTTGAAAGAGAACAAAGAGAAGCTGTCACACGGTGACTTTTCCAGTATATCTGGGGGAAAAAGGAAGGGTTGAGTGCTAAAAAAAATTTGATTTTATTTAGTTTGTTAATTCAAGTGAAAAACAGAACTCATTTGTGAGAACATGATGTCAACACAATGATGAGTTAATATGGAGTAACAAGTGATAGACGTGTCTCTTCAGATGGTCCGTTACATTCATTCCCTATGCAGCGTTGGTTTGCCCATTTGGTGACATTGGCTGCAAAATACCACCTAACCAACACCCCCTCCCAGATTTTGATTGATATAAGTAAAGCTTCGTTTCTGTAACATAAAGATATACATAAGTACTCTGCTTTCTTTGATTAGGTTCATTAATTACATTTATTATTCAGATAAGAGTTCTTTTAATAAGTCAGGTTTACTGTCCTTGTCTAAAAGATAATAGTATTTGGCGCCATCTATTACCTTTATTGTCTAGACCCCGAATATAAGACGACACCACTTTTTCAGACGAATTTTGAGAAAAAAAATCTCTCAACCAGTCTTATATTCAGCTTGCAGTAACATTACTTGTGAAAATGTTATTTGAACATTATGAACTGGAGAACTGCTGGCGTCTAACTTCAGGGATATGGGTGTGATTCCTTTACCATCTGTGTGTGTGTCCTCTCAGTTTTGGCATATGTTTCTTCTGGGTACTTCCATTTCCTCCCACAGATCAAAGGCATATGGGTTAGGTTAATTGGTGTCTCCAAATTGCAATTTTTGTCTGTGCACATTTCCTAAAATGCACAATGCCTTAGGCTCCCATCAATAAATAAATTTACCAGTGAGATGTATAACTCATTACTTTATCTTCATCCTGGGACTTTAACTAGTGGTCTTTAGAAACTGCATTGGATTAAATGATGCTGTTACACTAAACAAGTTAAAAGTAAATTACCTTGGTTTGGAGAGTTTTCAGTTTGAAGACTGATGTTGCAACAATTTCATATGATTGTTGACTGTAGTGTTTGACTTAAATGCTACGATTGTAGTTTCTGCTGTCATGTCTGTGATGAAAGATGCATTGTTGGTGGTAGTCTGGTTTGATGACCTCTTTCACATTTTTCCCAGGACTCCTTCAGGCAGAGACTGGGCAGGTGGTCCTGGCAGGGGACCCCAAGCAGCTGGGTCCCATTATAAGGTCCACACTGGCCAAAGAGTATGGATTAGGTGAGAACAACAATGTGATGAACACTGTCCTCCTTGAAGTATTAATGGCATGACTATAGTGTACTTGAACAGAGACAGATCTGTGAGTTGTTCCCTGAGGCTGAAAACTGGGTTTCCAGTCTTGTTAGCAATGTACAGAGTGGGTGATTTCCAAAGCTGTTTGTTAGAAGCTAAGATTAGTGGCTGTGCAAGTTTCATTGAGAAAACAGACCCTACTGGAACAGTGAGCTGTGTCAGTAAATTTCCACATGGGCCAGCACTGGCAGCCTAGCTTTTGGTGCATGGTTGATCACTTCATTCACATCATATTCAAGTGCACTCATTCAAGACGGTAATGATAAGACTTAGTGACAAAGTGATTTCCATCAATAACAGTGTTCAATTTATGTCTGCACATTCCCCTTTGTTTTGCTTAATAAGTGCAAATACTGTTTTGGCTTACAAATTTGTCATAGACCTGTCTCTACTGGAGAGACTGATGTCAAGGAATCAACTATACATGAAGAATTCTGAAAGCCGGTTTGATGAACGCTATGTCACTAAGTTGGTGAAGAACTACAGGTACTTTGAAAGTTCTTCTCTGTTCCCCTTGATTTATACCTCTCTTTTCCCAGAGGTGGAAAGGTCCAGAAAGTGAAAATCAGTTGAATACTATGTGACTATGACTCCTTATATTCAACTGGTTGGTTGTAACAAAATTTTGGCCTGAATTTGTACTTTCCGGACCTGATTTTCCCATGACTGTATTAGGCTCTTGGCAGTGTCTCCGTGGATACTCTCCATTCATATCTGCTGCTGAAGGATTTCCCAGTGTCTGCACTTGTTCTCAGCGACATCTCTGTTCCCCAGGTCCCATCCAGCCATACTCAAGATCCCAAATGAGCTCTTTTATGATGGTGAGCTGCAGGTGCATGCCGACCCGATTCTACGCAATTCATATTGCAACTGGGAGCACCTTCTCAGAAGGGTAAGTGGTGTAGTACATGATTTTGAGACAAAGTGAGCTTGTGATAAAGAAAAAAAATCATATATGGCCTTGGTTATTAATCAATCAACCAACCAATCCATCCATCCATTCATTCATCCATCCATCTTCTAACCTCTTCTCCAGTACAGGGTTTCAGAGGTCCTTGAATCCTGAATTTATTTTACTGTACTCGGGTATATGTTAGATAGTACCAAGATATTTACTCTGATTTAAATTTTAAAATCGAAGAATCTTTCAAACACTAAGATAGCAAATCATCCTGCCAAAGCAATTTTGTGTCATATCTTAATAAATGCATTTCAACTAACATCACTTTTCTGGTAATATTTAAGGAGTTGCACATTTTCAGTGCACCAGCTTCTGCATCTTCCTTTTAAACTACATATTTTCTCCCTGTCTGTTGTAGAGGTCCAGTAATTCATCACAATTTGTTATATACTGTAGTTATACATTTATATTTTTAATTAGGTCATTGTGTCCTATTTTGGCTGCTTGGGGTCATACTGAAACAAAATGGATGTTATGTGGGGGGAAAAAAGCAAGTTTGTCCCCTATGTTGCCCCCCCTGGTGACTTTGGTTTTATCTTTAGTCAGAGCCAAACCTGTCTCACCAAGGTCTAAAAATGCAGGAATAAATTGGAAATATTTGGATTCTCTAAATGCTGGATTCTCTAAAAATATAGTCTGCTATATTTCTAGACAGAATCTGTCATGTTGCCTAGTACCATGCAAAAGTCTTAGGCCATCAAAAAATATGCTTAAATCTCTTTATCTGGGTAATAAGTAAATATTTGCTCAGAAGAAAAATCTAACATAAAACATATGCAAATTAAGAGTAAAAGTAAAACTTAAAAGGAATTTCTTCTGTTGTCAAATAAATTTACCAGTATCTTGTTGGATTGCTAGATGAACACCACTTCAGTTCCCAAACATCTGCTCAGGAGCACCTCAGTCACTCTATGTATTTCTTAAATTTCAATGCCAGCTCTATCCATCTATTTTCACGAGGGGTGGGGGTGCAGGACACACTCACACACCATTCACTCACACCTATGGACAATTTGGTAACTCCAATTCACCTCAGCATATTTTTGGACTGTGGGGGGAACCAGAGAACCCAGAGGAAACCCCACAGCGACATGGGGAGAACATGCAAAATCCACACACACGGAGTCAAGGCCGAGACTCAAACGCTGGTCCTGGACGTGTGACACAACAATGTGAAGCACTGCAACACCATGCCACCTTCAGCAGCAGATCAGTTTGGTTGCATAATTGAATTAGTGTAAAAAGTCAGTGGGGTATTGATTACCCAGGCGAGGTGTGCTAGTGGTTGAGTCAAAAAATACATAGATGTATTAGACGGCTGTTGCACATATTGGGGTGACTTTAGGAGAGGTTTTGAGATGGTTATGCTAAAAGCACTTTTGCAAATATGCTATCGTATTTTTACACCAATATGAAAATCATTTAAACATCATCTTCTTTGACTGCCTAGGACTTTTGCACAGTACTGTGTATTATTTTATGAACTATACTTTAGGCACAGACTTTAAAAATTTTCATGCTACCCTGGATGGTGTCAACATTGGTCATTAACTAGTGAAGTTCCATTGAAGGTGGAGGTCATTATCAGGACTGATCAAAACTCCCTTACAGTGTCAGCTGAGGATCCCACTGGCTGGACGTGCTTACAGTCTTGTACTTCTGTTTGTAATTTTATTTGCTGCAGGATCTCTGGGCTGCTGTAAAACCATGCAGTTTAATAATAGCTTAGAGCAGTTCACAGTTTTTTTTCTGTATTTCTGGGTTGAAGTAATAAATTATGGTGCAGGTAAGCATCCCTGTACTAATGTAGGTCAGCATCTTCTGCAGCTCCTTTAGTCTTGGTAGTTTTCATGCCTATTTTTGGTTAAATAGGTTTGTAGCCCCAACTCCAAAAGTTAGTTGAGTAAATTTTTCCTGGTACAGCCTGTTTGGTCTAGTAAAAATGTAGCCAGTCTGAAACAGGAAGCCTCTCTATGGTGTGGAGGGCAAAGGTAAAGGGTATTTCAGCCTGCTGTTGTATTAAGAGACTTATTTAATGATTAGGTACATGAAAAATGTGTACTGTTTCTCATCCTAGAATGAAACCTGCACCCTAGGAAAGAAAAGAATGACATCAGTTTGGAAATCATGAACATTTGAGGAATCATGTTGAATTATAAATGTAGGCTGTTTTAATTTCACCTTCCTCTTTTTGACTTTTTAGGATTTTCCTGTCATATTTGAGGGAGTAACAGGGAAAGAACAAAGAGAGCAAAACAGTCCGTCTTTCTTCAATGTGACTGAGGTTGAAATCATTGTGCAATACCTGAAGAAGCTATTTCAGACTCAAGCCAAAAAGGGTTTGCAAACCCTGTCACCAAAGGACATTGGCATCATTGCACCATATAGGAAACAAGTGAGTTAAGGGAAATTTTTTAATGCTTTCTATGACAGCATTTAAATGGGAAAAGAAAACCATCTGAACTTTTCTAATGTTCTTTAGGTAAATACGTTGGGTTTTAACACATTATGTAATATTGTTCATTGTAATATAAGAATAAATTAACTATTGTAATTATTAGTTATATTTTAATTGGAAGACAGTTGATGGCAGCAAGTTGCCTTGTATGGCTTTAACACAGAATGGAAAATAAGTGGATTTTTTTTATAGAATCTCCACATAAAAAACTTATAAGGCAGCCAATTTCAATTCAATGCCTGTTTGAAAAATGTGCAGATGAAATGGTATCAATATCTCCAATGGAGTGCAAGTGGAAAAAGAAGAGTAATGTGGACAATTGTTTCCATTAGTGTGGTAAAAGGTATGGGGGAATTACCAATCTTATGAATAAAGCTTGTCCTAAAAATATTATATCAAATGTGTTTAGTTAGAGCTAAACACCCTGTCAGAATAATGCAAATATGAAAGTCTCCAGTATCACAGGGGAAATTAATAATAAAGTAAATCAATACAGCCTTATAACTGGGAAGAGATGATGGTGCGACACCTGGCATCTGAGCTATAACTGACACCTGATCCTTGGGCACATGGGTGTTGCTAAAGATTTTGGGCCCCATGAAAGCACATCATACTGGGCCCCTCAGTCCAGACCAATCCAGTCATTTTCTAACATTTTAGGGCCCCTGCCAGGGCATATTGAAGCCCTATGAGGTTTTTGGAGTTCCATGGCAAAAATTTGACATTTATAAGCAATCCAGTATTGTAATGTTTCCACAGCTTAATTTCTCATTTTCATGTTATTGTGCATCTTATGTGTGATTTGGCTATGTTGTACATACCTCTAGATATTGATCATTTGATAGGTCCAGAAAATCAGAAAGGCCATCACAGTGACTGATAGAGAGCTGAGCAGACTGAAGGACATCGAAGATCTTAAGGTATATTCCTGTAAATAATACACTGATCACTTCTTTTATCAGTATCTGTAGCTTGTGTCACAGTAAATATGGAAATGTCATGTTATCAGCACTATTAGTTATTACTTCAAACAATGTTTTTACTTATAAACTATTACTTGCCAGTGGTCATCTTCAGTAATTTTCAGAGTCATACTTGAATTACACAATTACCCATGTAGGCTAAGACCTTTTTAAAACAGCCTGAAAAAACAAACCTGACTATTATTTTAATAATGAAACTCTTCAAAAAACATGGCAATTAATCTCAAGATTAACACATTGAATCATATAGCAATACCAAGAACTCTCAAAATAAAGCCATAAATAATGCCTTTATTAGTGTTGCATAGGTCTAATAAAGTGGCCACAACATAAGTGTTTCACCCCACTGTGTCCATGAACACTTGTTTTCTCAGTTTATGACATCTCTCTTGTAATAGAAGGTGAATGTTTAGGAGCAAAAAAAAAATCTATTTGGCAAATGGCTCTAAAAACAGAAGCCTGTCAACCATTGAAAGTGCACTTAACATGAAAAATCCTCATTTTAAGGTATTGCTGCAAATTGTTACAGAAAAGTAACCACGTCCTTTTGCCTTTCCCATCGATCAGTGAAAGGCGCTCAGAGAATGTTTTGATTTTAGCTGTGAATTCTGAAATCACGACTGAAGATCTTGCATTTTTACTTTGAGGAGAGACTCCGGGTCTCGTTAACATAGCTGGCATTAATATTGAGATACTACTGAAGGACCTGATTATCTGTATCAGGTGTGTTAAATTAGGACTGTACCTAAGCCCTGCAGGGTGGTAGGTCTCCTGGAGCAGGAATGAGAGCCCTGGTATAGAATTATGTAATGAGTAGCGACTAGACAGGATCTGGTATATGCCATATTAACGTCCATCTCCCCTCCCAAATGAATAAGGTCGGCGCAGTGGAGGAGTTCCAAGGCCAGGAGCGCAAGGTGATCATGATATCCACTGTGCGCAGTGACACCAACCACATCAAGATGGATCATGAATTCCAAATTGGTTTCCTTAGTAATGAGAAGGTACTGTTCCATGCACCCTACTTAGGCTGGGCATACACTGTGCGATTTTTCCAGTCGTTTTGTAAACACCCAGCTCAAATTGTACGACTAAATCGCATGCGATGAAAAGTCAAAGCTCACGATTCATGTCCACACACTATATGGTACGATACTTGGATGCAACCTGACTACTCACACTGCACCAGCAATATGAACGTCGGACTCCCGTACCCGGAACTGTAAATGTCGAAAAAGAAGCAGCAGAAGAAGAACCCGCATTAGTGGCGATGCTCACTAAAGCAAAACATGCTGCTTTGGCCATTTGTGCATTTTTTTGTGCAAAAAAATCCAAAAAGAAGAGGCTTGGACACGAAGATGGCTGGGAAGACGTGGACAATACGGCCTGTCCATTTTACAACAAGAACTGAAGGAAAGCAGCGACAGATAAATTACACTGCAGATAGCCTGATACCTACACAGAACATGTAATGCAAACAATGACATGCCTGCTTGTTCTTGCTTGCTTGCTCAAACGTTCAGGCCCGTTATGTTGTGTTTATTCAAGTTCAATTTATCACAGTCCTTAAATCTCAATGTTGTGTTTAGTCTGTAGCACATAAGATCCCACCACCAATCAGTTTCAGACAACAGGCTATAATAACATTCAACACCTATACTGCCTTGCTGTATTAATATAAGTTTTGTGGAAATAGATGGATGATATGAAGGATTTTCAGGACCTTCTTTGAATGTCTATGGAGGACTTCAATTTCCTCCAGGAGAGGGTAACTCCACATATCATAAATAGGGATACCCTCCTAAGAACGGCGATCAGCCCAAGGGCAGGTTTTGCAGGTTTTCTGTTACAATACGGTTTCTGGCAACAGGCAAGTGTGCACATATATCAAATCTCATTTCTGAGTACTTCAGTTCTGTGTTCGCACGTGCACAGCGAGGACAACCCACTCAGGTTAAAGTGAGTCGGCTCAAACAGGTTTGATTTTTTTCACGATCATCTGAATGTTGGTGGGGACCTGGTCGGGATGAGTGAATCGGTGCTCCTTACATCCTGTACACTATACAATATACGACGCACGATCACGCTGAAATCCGGCCCGACTCCAGGAATTACCGCACAAGTGAAAAATCGGCTGAAAATGGGCCGGAAATCGCAGTGTATGCCCAGCTTTACCTCGACATTTGTTATAGTGAGATGATCTACTCATGCTACCTTTGATTTCTTTTGTAAATGTATAAATTAACAAATGACTGTGTTCAATTCATGAGAACATCTGAAAAGCAACCAAATTAAGTAATTTCTCAAGTAATGGGTGATCTGGCATCACGTAAACAAATTAACTTGGGACCATTTGAGAGCAAATGTACCTATAGAAAATGTACACCACAGTCATATATCATGTCCATCTTCACACAGAGGTTCAATGTGGCTGTAACCAGGGCCAAGGCTCTCTTGATTGTGGTGGGCAATCCTATCGTTCTCAACAAGGAACCCAACTGGAAACGGTATGGTTCACCTGGAATTAACACTGACTTCCTATATTTTGTCAGGCAGCTTGGCAGCATGTTGTCATAACCCTGTCTTATTGGTTTTGGTGAAATAGTGGTTTGACCTCATCATATATGTCAGCTAGATGATATGTTATCATGAACTCATTTCAGTGATGCGGTGTCACAATCTTTTTTCCCCCTCTATCATTAATTTGTTGTCAGCCTGTCATTGAGCAGAAATGTAGCAAGCGTTGTCATAGCAGTTACGTAACAATTCCCACAACAGTTGTCCATGATGATGAACTGCTGTACCAAGTGCTATTGGAGAGGGGCAGAGGGTGAACACTGTACCACCCGGCCATTACACTTAACGCTGACTCTTTCTCAGATTCATCCAGTACTGCACTGAAGAACAAGGGTACACTGGGGTTAAATACTGGGAGTCAGAGGGTGAAGCCTTAATTATTGGAGCAGACGTGAGAGGTAAGATTATATATGTATATAATATGCCCTCAATGACCACTTTATTAGGGACATCATCTCAATAACACAAACAGCAGATCATCTGGCTGCAGCCGAATACATACAGCATGCTGATGCGTAAGACATCTGATCTCACAATTTAAAACTGGGTGTGACTGTTAGTACAAGAGGGTGGATCTCAGAGACAGTCACCCTCCTGGGATTTTCACACACTACTGTATCTAGACTTTACACAGAATGGTGTGATGAACAAAAAACGCCTTGTTGATGAGAGAGATCATAGGAGAATGGCCAGTATCATTAAGGCTAAAAAGGAAGGCAAAAATAGCAGGTCAGTACAACAAGGATGGGCAGATAAGCAATTCCAAATGCACTCATCAGATCATGAAGTGCCAACGGGGACAAAGGGGTCCTACCTGATACTATGTTTCATAATTCTGTACAAGATTTGTAACACAATAAACAATAAATGTTAAATGTGAGCTCTATTGCATCGGGACACAGAGGATGAAAAATACTATTATTGCTGTTAAAACTAACAAACAATAATAATAATCACAAATATACAACAAAGACCCTTACTCCCAAGGTGGCAATCGGAGTGTCCAAAGGTGGAAAGTTCAGGTCCAGAAAGTACAAATCCAGACCGAAGTTTTGTTTCAACCGACCAGTTCAGTATACAGTACTCAACTGGTTGGGTGAAACAAAACCTTGGTCTGGATTTGTACTTTCTGGACCTGAACTTTCCACCTTTGGTGTGCACAAGGTCCTGTCATATCTTGTCTCACAATATTTACCCGTGTCTTACCTCAGATGATGAAACAGAGGAGAGTGCCATCCAGCGGTACGAGGACCCACCGTTTAGGAGGGAGGAGTGAACCAGCAGATATCATTCATTGGCTTACAGAATATTGTCCAAGATATTGAAGGGATACTAATAATTCGATTGCTGCTATAGTTTTCATAGAATATTTGCCATCAATATTTACCCATTAGCCAGGATATCTGCAAATTCTTCTTTTTCATCAGAGTCTTGTGGGTGTATTGACCTACAAATCTGAATGCAGCCCAGAGCTCAGTATGCTGTTATGGATCATATACTATATGTTGTGGTAGGTTTTCAGATGCATTTTACATAGGGGAGACTGGAGACAATATTTGAATGGAGTCAAGTGTTCAAAGGAATACATCTATCTTCATAACTAGTACAATTTTATTTTTAAAGTAAGTTTTTTTTTCCCATTTTGTCATTTTTCTGCGTTTCATAAAAACTAGAAAATATGTTGTCAGAACCGCTACAATGCATTGCTTGGTCACCCCCTCACCCTGTCCCTCCAATCCCTGCTCTTCACCCCCTCACCCTGTCCAATCCCTGCTCCTCAACCAATTACCACCATATTATTAAAAAGTACAGCTTATAATACACATAATATTTGCCAAGTGGGGGGCTGCGAAAGAAAATATATATATATAAACTTTATTTTAGAATATTCTGAAAATTTGCCCCATTGGCGATGCAATTACAATTCTGGGGCCATTTGTCTCAGGTCTATTAGGGGTAGATTTTCATCCATATGTTGTTTTTGTGAAGTGTTAATAAGAACCATCAAAGATCAAATGGAGTAATAATAGCAGAATTATCCTGTTCACAAGGATTCAGTTCATGAGCCATACAACACCTCTGCGAAGTTGGAAACCATGAAATACTTTGAGTTACGGTCATGTCAGGATCAAGTGTCTGAAACTGCCCTTTTTGCTATAACTATGTGCCATTAATTTAATTTTGCAATGATCAGTCTCAAAATTTAATCAGTTCCAGTTTGCCACTCAACACAATGCTTCTACAAAGTTTGAAAAATCTCTCTCACATACTTTGAGTTTTTGTCTTAATGATAGTGTCTGCAGTGGCACAGTTCCAAAACTATATGTATTCCCCGAGGAAATAAAATGAAAATTCAGCAGTTGTCCCTGGTATCCCCCAAGTCATTCCCAATTTCACTCTGCTGGTATTAGGCGTATAGATTATTCTGAGAGTATTACACAGTATTCTGAGCATAAAATGGCTTACTGAGTTCATACAAGTATAATTAAAGTTCTATTTCTATTGCATCAAATCTTTTGTTACTCATTACAACATTCACTTTCCAGATTTTAAAGACTCCTTTTGACTCAGGTAAATTGAAGCAACAGGATGTGAAAAGTATGGTTTAAAGATGCCATTAAAAAATGTGATGTGTTCTCTTTATTTGAACATTTGCTACAACACTAGTTCTGTTTACAAAGCATTGACAATCAGCATTTATACAAATCTCGATTATTTTAGCACTTTTAATTAATCCTGGAAAATTAAGGAAAACAAAAAAAGTGGGAGGAAAACAATCCAACATACCAAAGTTGTCCCAAAAGACAAATACAGTAGCAAAGGGAGGTCAGGTACAGACCCATGCAAACAAAGGGATAAAGTCTGTATATGTATGTATTGATGTTTAATCTTAGACACATATAAAATTCTCACAAACACTTTACTCAGTACAGTACATGCTCCACTAGTACAAAGGCCATTGGGGTGGTCTTCAAATCTGTGGGGAATTCAGAGGGTCTTCGTTCTGTGTCCTCTCTGAAATCCATTACAGATGGCCTCATACTTTAATCCCTAGAATCCCTGCAGAACTTTGACCTTTAAAAGGACAGATGACTGTACTGCTTTGGCCAACAATTAAATCCTCGTAAATGGTTGTATTGTATATGCAATGGCAATGTTATCAGCCTGAAATATTTGTTTTTCCTCTGTCAATTCTTTCACCTTTACTGCCTTAACTTTGAGTTTCTAGGCTACACCGTTCTTTGAAAAACTAAAAATATTCAAGTTTGTTCAGTCTAAAATTCAATATGCTATTTATAAGGCTGTTGCACCCCGATTCCCTCCCATTTATGGACTCCAGGGGGCAGTGTTCTCCAGATGCTGATCTTTAAATGGAAACGTTTTATTTCCTTTGTAGGGATCTGTTGAAAACCATATCACACAAAAGCCTATCTAATGCACATTGTGGTTATAACATTTCCAGATATTAGGTCTATACAGCATATTCTGACTTTTGTGCTCTGCACATTTGTTAACCCATATCTACATCCTTTCATCTAATGTATTTCTGAGTTTGGTCTGAAGCATCATTAAACAAGTTGTCCCCTGCACTTGAGTTTCCGCCTGGCCAAACACACTATTACTACATCAGTGACACGTCAGATGAGTGCATCTGAGTAAGATGACCTTTTGCTAACCAGTGCTGCAGTTTGATGTCACCATCATAGTGTGATGTTCAACTGGAGGAATGTAAGGAAAAGAAAAAAGTTTAGGGCCCACACTGAATGGTCTGGAGCCCCTGCAGGCTGTGATGCATGCTAGCATTCGTTGTACCTCACAGCTTAACTCCAGAACATTTTAGGGAGACCCAACTTGTACAGATAAGCAAGTGTCGCTTAGTATTACTTTGAGTGAGTAATCAAGAAACTCACTCTGCAACTGAGTGGCAACTAGTAACCCCATGAAGCAAAACCCAGCCGTATAGTCACCTTCTGCCATGGGAGCTTCAAAAACAAAACTGTACACAGCCTAGCATCTGAATGGCACACTTTATAAGAATGGGATAGAAGTCCAAGTAGATGTTACAGGTGCCATGAAATGGCTAGAATGCCAGCTACCACGGTCAGCTCAGACAGCAAACACTGGAGTATCTCTGATCTCTCTACCTGAAGGACTGCAGCCTTATGCAAGCAGTACTAACATGTCAAGGATGCCAAACACTAGCAAGCATTCAAAACTTACAGAATGTCAATCTGTCATATCAAAAGGGTAAGGCAAACGGGTCACAGACAATTATGGCTATCATACTGACAAAAACAAAATGCTTGACTGGCCTTAGTCCACCTGGAGTGGAGAGTTGAGCAGGAGAGCTCCAATAAAGTTATGATATGTTGATTTAGAACAGGTGACGCACAGCTTACACTTATAGACTTAGTATTCCATGGTCATCTCAATGCATTACAGCAGTGCTGTGGGGGTTTATGGGGGGAAACTGAGGCATGAAGAAAAACCCTCCAGGTAGCCCACTGATCACCCAGTCATACTAATTACCCAGAACCCCTACACAAGTCCTAAATGAGCCTGCAAGGCAGGAAAGTCCATCAAACCAGAACCCAGAAGGAAAGAAGAGTTAAAGGCCTGCATTCATTATTATGATTATACATTATAGCTGGAACGCAAAGTCTTATCCAAATAGTGAAGTGAAGGTGTAAAATATCAGTTTATAAATGAGAAACAATTCAGGCAGCTTTCTACAACCGCAGAATTCTTCTTGGTACCTGAATTCCCAGTCATCCACTCATAAGTCCAGTTTGTAAACCATTTAGGCTGGCTGCAGCCCTGGAAAAACTACTCAGTGTATTCTGGATTGCTTTGCTGGTTAATATTCTGTCTCTTGGCACTCTCAGATCCATAACTCTTCCTATAATTTATTTAAAAGGTTCAGAATTCTACCAGTTATTTACCTTGCATTTCACCCTTCTTTCCTTTCATTGTGATTACATTTGACAGAAAGATACTGCCCTACAGAGAATTTGAAAGGTACAATGCTAGGAGGCTGTGCTGCCATCTTATCCTTGGACAGTCCTCTCTGACCATATGGCAATATCTTATAGCAGTGTTTCCCAACCCGATCCTCAGAGACCCACAGAAAGCCCATGTTTTTGCTCCCTTCCAGTTTCCTGCTAGATAGTCCACATTTTTGCAAAAACATGGACTGTCTGGGGGGGGGTCCGTGTGGACCGGGTAGGGAAACAGACTCATAGCATTGCAGCTTGTGATCAGAACACACTGCACCCTCTGTCCAAAACAGGGCCGGTTTTCTCATGTTGATAAGTGGGGAGGCTATATTGTCCATTTGACTACACTAAGGTGTGGTGTGACAGGAGACAGGCAGCTTCCCCACAGCTCTCTACACCTCCATGACAGCTTGGAGAGTCCCATGGGGGTTGTGGGGGTGTGGCAGGAATCGGTTGACAGGTTCAATCCACACATGCCACTTCAAATGTAAAACGTTAAGGCTGGAAGGTACTGGGCACAGCTGGCTTCTGTCAGACCAACTCATAGTGCTCGTTTGATCGTCACACCATCCACTTCACCCTTTCGACAAGGGAGCTGGCACAATCCACCCAATTTGCCCCCCACCCTATTATTTATATGACATCAAGCAAAGTTCACAAATCAATGTGCTGCTAACTTGTGGGTGAGCTGAAGAGACATGCGTGTGCATAAAAACATGCATGCAGACAGACATATACATACTATCCATTTCCTCAAACAGGATAAGCTGCAGAAACAAACTGAACAGGAGAAAACCAGGTGAGAAACAGAAAAAGTAAATATAAAATATCCAACCTATGGATCTGCCCAGTTTGCCTTGTTTTCAGTATTTGTTTTTCTTCTCCTGTGTTTGCTTGTGAAAAACATGGGGCAGATGTTACTTAGGGATCATTCTCCTGGTGTTTTATTAATGCTTGGCCAACCCCAACAACCCCCACAACCCTCATTGTTTCAGACCCCACAACCTTCACAACAATAAACAGCCATTTCTCTTCTTGCGCTTGCGCACTTGTAGCGCCGCCCTGGTGGCCATCTCAAACACTTCACGAACTCCATCTTTAGTCTTCGCTGAGCACTCCAGGTAGCCAAAAGCCCCTATGCGGTTAGCCATGTCCCTGCCCTCGTCTGACTTGACAGGCTCCTGAGTGAACAAAGACACCTGTGTCAGACTACTAAACTACATTCAGTCGCTAGGGCTGGTGTTTGTGCCACATTTGTAAATGTACAGTCTGCAATAACCACTGCAGAAAGGTGTCCCCCGTCTGTTGGCTCCCCCCTCATAGCCTTGGTGGGTGGGACACTTCATCTACCCTGAATATTACATATTAAGTGAATAAAATAGAACCAGGACCACCCTTACGTTTCCCAGACTGTTGTTTAGACACATACTATGCAGGACAAGCTGTTCAGTTTCAGGACGGTAGCATGAACTGAGCTTTTGTTGGGCTGAAAAGTTCCAAAATGTGCTGAAAATGCTAAATGCTAGAGACAATTAGCACATAAGAAACAGTATCCCATAAATGTGAATTATAAATAAGGCAATTGTCAGCAAAATATAAAATTTATTCTTCTTAGAGGAACACGCATTTTCCCCAGTATCTCGTGTGATTAACCTTAAAGTATGTAAAAAGTATTCAAAAGATATCAATTACGATTATATAATTGTTAATATTATTTAGGTGTTCTAGGTCCATTACTTCTAGCATAGGAATGATGAAGCCACTTGAACACCAGATAAAGTCAGGAGTGTGGTACTAACCTGGTTAGTCACCTCAAGGCTAGAGTGTATCATCGGTTCTGCCCTTTTAAATGGAGGGAAAGTAGGGAATACCTGCTTCATCTTGGCCAGTTCCCTCCTCGTGTGGTCATCATTTCTCAAGTCCTTCTTGTTGCCCACGAGAATAATGGGGACGTTGGGGCAGAAGTGTTTCACTTCGGGGGTCCACTTCTCTGGGATGTTCTCTGCCATGTTTGATCAATGACAATGGGCATGAGCAATAGAGACACAGCAGAGAATGAACAGCAAAGAGCTAAAAGCAGCAGATAATATGTGCTAGTCGTTACGTAGGTGGTGGAATTTAACATTTCAACTTTACATAGTCACAGAAGACTACACTCAGAATCAGAACCTATCAGCTTATAAATACTGGGTGGCTGACTGTCAAATAAAGTGACTAAAGTGGCAGCCCCCCCCCCCCCCCCAGAATGAATCCCTAACATTTTGATCATTCAAATAATTCCACAAGGTATTAATAACTTCCTGGGTTAACTGAAGCCCATCATAACAAAGATAAATGTATAGCAGGGACCTCAGGCCCTTTACCTAAACTGTCAGGACTATCGATGGAGAAGCACATCAGGATGACGTCAGTGTCGGGGTAGGAGAGCGGCCGCAGGCGGTCGTAGTCCTCCTGGCCAGCTGTGTCCCATAGAGCCAGCTCCACCTGTGGGTCAGCGATAGCAAGCTGGTGAGACTGCAAGACTGCACTACAGGGCCCTAGGGTTGGCGTCTGTACCATGCCAGCCAGAAGGGCATCAGCCATCCTAGGCTACATGATAAATGTAAAGATGAACATCTAAGGACAGGCAACCTAATGGGAGTAATGCATAAAAACGGGCCCGTTACTCATGGCTTTACTGCAATTGCATTGCAGAGGACAATAAGTACGGAAGGAACATCTATCAGTTTACACAATTCAACCTACAATAGGTGAAATACCCCTTTATAAGAATCCAGAATGCTATGGAATCAACACCAGAGGGTCCATATAATGGTCTGGCTTAATTTAGTACTCAACCTAAACTCACAGTAAAACCACAGCCACCAAGTAAGGGCCAGTAGGCAACAGTGATGAAAGATCCAGAGTTCTGAGCAACAGGGCTAAAATCATACCTGGGAAACTGTTCTTGTGTCCCTAGGGAAGGTATTTTACCTGAAGGTCCTTCACTCTGCATGGCCATAAATACTATAACGGAACTAAAGTGGACAATAAGCAACCGACTAATGGAATGCAGAAAAATGTTCACAGGCTACAAAGAATGTGCAGCCTGAAAGCAGCAGGCATGATGTGTCACAACTAACAAGTACTAGCAGAGTGAGACCATCTTATTGCAGGAGCCCATATCACAAGGCATATACCCTAAGCTGACGATAGCATGAAGTATGTGATCCAGGAAAAATGCAAATAAAAATGAAATAATGATGCAGACTTAAAGAAACCAAGAGACAGAGAGAGAGGCAGATATCACACAATGTGTCGGGTAACGTAGTTTCGGTGTGATACACAGGAAATGTGTATAAATTGGAAGTTTTCCTCTCATCATTCTGTCCTTTCCTCTTCCAATTGTACCCCTGCATGGTTAATTTCTCTTTTGCAACATATATAGATTGCTTCTATCTTCTATATACATCCTGAAGCTGTGTTGGACAACATTTACTTAAGGATTCTGTGCGTGCATGTGTGTGTGCGCGTGTGTGTGTGTGTGTGTGTGTGTGTACACATTTTCTGAGGAAAGTGTCTGCCAGACATCAAAATTTTAAAGGATGTTTATGCTATGACAATTACTGTTCCCTTGGTAAGAGATATTTTGTTTGTTAAATCTGCCATTGATGACAATAGCATTTTGAAACAGCATTTGAAGTCTGGATCCATGTTCTTAACTTCTCTTCACTCCCGCTGATTGATCAGAGAATTTGGCTGGGCCAGATGGACTTAAGCTAGAGCTGGCCTCAACTTGAGATGAAGTGTGAAAACGGAACTAATCACCATGGTTTGATGCGACATTTTGCTTCAAAATGACAAAAGAAAAAAGCAGTCAGTAGCACAAAAGCAGTTAGACATCAAAAAGATTAGGAACTGGCCATGGCAATCATACCCAGTGCTATTGCTGCTTTACTTACCTGCTTCCCATCCACTTCAATGTCTGCGATGTAGTTCTCAAACACAGTGGGCACATACACCTCGGGGAACTGGTCTTTACTGAAGACTATGAGTAGGCAAGTCTTTCCACATGCTCCATCCCCCACAATAACCAGTTTCTTCCTGATTGCTGCCATCTCTCTGGGAAGGAGAGGGTAACAGGAGTGAAACCAAGGCTTATGTAAGAGCAGTACAGAGCAGCACATTACAGCACAGCAACAAACAACGGCCTCCATCTCTATGGGAAGAACCGGAGCTTAGCCTGTTGGAAGGCCTGCTATACAGGAGTTCTCATTCCAGAGCCAAGCGAGTAATTTTTGGAATTATTCATTGAGGATGTGATTTACTTTGGGGAAAGCCTACAACTGGAAGGACACAAACATATAAAGACGTCAACATTATTTAAAAAAAAAAAAAAGGAGAAGCAAGTGATTATGGAGCAGTGAACTCATTCTGATGTTTAGACCAAAATGTTTTCAGCAATGCTAAGACAGGAAGAAGTAAAAACACCACCGTTTCTCCTTATTTGACCCTGGAAATCAAGAGATCTTCACCTAGTAGGTACAGGCAGAGCATCAGCTCTTGTTACTTAGAAACAGGTCTCAGCTCAACTGGCACTCGGTCACTTCTGGATTAGCGCATTAGCAGTGGCACTAGAATCGCTTCAGTGCTTCTTGCCAGTTGCTACCTTTCAGCGCTCATTTGGCTTTGATTGCAACAGCGATGCTTTGTAAGGCTCTCGACATAGACGAGGAAGGACAACGGGACACTGTGTGCTCCATAAGGCTGCTTGAACGTGGGTATCCCATTGTTTAAGAGGTGCCGGGCTCATGCTTGGAACCCCAGAGCATTGAATTAATGCCATCAGAGCATTTCTCATATTTCTCCCCATGGAAGGTAAAGGAAAATTACAAAATTTACAAAAACACTGCAATAAAGTAAAGTAAATGAGGAAATGCATTTTCAGCTGCAAGCTCACTCATTCTAAAAAAGTTCAGTAATGCTTCACATTAACTGCACCTTCATAATGCTTTATATTGCATTCATAGAACATTCAGTGCACCTTCATAATATATTCATTGCGTTTATGAATGTTCTATGACTACATCACGCATGTATACCATAACAACCTAACATCCCATATTGGGTGTAATATACATTAATAATACACATAATGAACATTATAATTGTATAATCGTGTAATGTTTGTTATTAATGTACAGTAAAGCTGTTAAGGGATGTTAGGATGTTAAGGTGTACTTGCATGCTGCTTATGAATGTTCTATGAATGCATTATGAAGGTGCACTTAATGTAACGCGTTTCCAAAAGTTCACTAAAAAGTTCAGTATACCAAAGAATGTCATGTAACTAAGATATAAATTTCACATTCCTGCACCATCTTCACTCTGATCAACCATTCGCTGTATAAGCATCTCAGACAGTTCCCATTCCTGGAAATATGTGTATCATTGATATCCGTCTATCCTGGGCGGGGGGGGGGGGCAGGCACTAGAGAGTTCAGACACCTGGCCAAAAGGGGTCATAAGGTCCTGCAACCATGGAAACAGCAGATCCCCATGCAGATAAGATGCTGCTGGTCATGGAGGCACATGTGGTAGTGCGTAGGAGCCCTTTCTAAAGGGCAAAATCCCACCTACATATCAGTTTCATAAATTATTCAAGTATGTCACAACAGGAAACCGCAAACATGCAAGCAATAAACAGAGGGTGAAATGTTAGGCTTTAAAATAGAAAGCATGCCATAATTTCAGCTGATTTTGTATGCATTTCAAAATTAGGGAGCATGGTAAGATCATCCAGAGAATAGTGATTACATATTCTTTTTTAATCATATAGCAATAAAAAAACACAATTGACAACTTCTTTCAAAAAGATTCTGATATGACAACAATAAAGCATTCATGTGTAAATTAACCAGGTTAACCACCCCCTAAAGGACCCAGTTTTAACAAAAATGATTAGGGACAACTTCTCACTCTCCATCAGTGTTTCCCAACCCGGTCCTTGGGAACCCCCAGGCAGTCCATGTTTTTGTTCCCTCCCAGCTCCCTGCCAAACAGTCCACACTTTTACTCCCTACCAACCCCAGGTCCCCAGTGACTGGGCTGGGAAACACTGCTCTACATATTTAGAAAAATACATGGAGATACGAGATGCTCCGGTAGAATACATCAGTTAAGCTGGGGTGTGAAGTTAATGGGCAGCAGAATTGTTTTCCTCTGCATCATGCCAGGGTGTCAGACCTCGTTATCAGCTTTTCCATGCACTCATGCTTGTCATCACAACGCTGAATATACCCGGATCCCCTATATGTAGAGATTTTTTTTTTTCCCTAGAATTTAGTCTTCGCTTCCCACGAAAACGGAAAAAAAAAGCCTACATGTTGGCAAAACATTTAATGGTAGGGGAATTTTTTTCTAACTAAATAAATGTACATAGAAAAACTTGACCAAACCACAATAGATTAAGCCTTTTATTGAAAAAAGGACAGCAAACCAGACATTCACAATTGGGCCATAGCGCCTCTGTCAAGGTCCTAAAACCTTGTGTTCTAGTTGTAGGGATTTAGATCTATTTCAGTACTGGGTCAAGCCCACAGCACCCCTTTCCAGCAGTTTCTAAAACTAAATGTTTCTGCCCCGTTTTCTCTATGCGATCAGCATCACTTTGATTTATGTGGATACGTTTTAAAAAGAGCGTGAATGTAAACACGACGGGTTTCCCCTCAAACGAGAATAATCCTTAACATGTCAAGTTTTAGGTACAATAATAATAAAAAAGCAAAATTCACAACAAAAAAAAAAAACTCAAATCAATAAATTATTTTAACTTCATCCTCAAGATGTGAAATCCTGGGTTGTTAAAACAAATTGAAACAGAAAACAAAAGCACACCCTCACAAAGACTGATTGTCTGAGAATCCCGAAGTCTGGGTAAAGTGGACAATGGCCCAACTGGTCCTTTCATGAAAAAGGACTAGGGCAGCAGATTGTGGCGGACAATTACCTAAACCAGTGATTCTCAAACCAGTCCTTGGGGACCCCCTGAGAGTTGGGAGGGATCAAAAACATGGACCGTCTGGGGGTGTGAGAAACACCTAAACCAAACGCAATAGCAGCTTGGTAGACAGCGCATTTAGTGCCTTACTTTGAGGGGACTAGGTCACTTGCATGAACTACACCTGGTTTTATTTATATTGTTGTATGTCCATGTTTAACACTGACGTGAGTGTTCCCAGCAAAATGCACATTTGTTCCAGTTTTTCCTAACTGAAAAGCTTTGTTAGAAGAGCTTTGGGTTCCAAGAAGAGTTTTGTTACATCATTCATAATTGCAATAATTATTCTGTGTGGACCCATGTGATTCAGGCCTCCAACACAGACTGACCTTCCAGAGTTCAGCCGCTCTAGTAAAACCCCAGTCAGTGTCGCACATGGAGGAAAGGGACTCACTGTCTCTCAGAGTGCGTTGGCGAGATGGCATAAGCTGGTACAGTTCCCAGCATGACCAGCCCATGGCGTGAAACATGATATTCCCATGTACCAGCCCACAAAGACAATCTAGAACACAAGTAACCCTGAAGAAAGTCATTTTCTAATGTTTACAATCCAGATCAACATGAGTTCTGGATTTTTAAGATGTGCCGTGCATAAGAAATTGCAGAGAAATGCATTAAAGTCAATTGCATCATTTTTGTCCCTGGAGAAACTACATGCCTTGTGATAAAACACTAGTTCTTGCTCTCCATTCATCAACATCACAAAAAAAGATGAATGCTTACGAATGAAAGCAATAAGCAGAGCTTGGTCTACCATCCTTTAACAAAATGATATATAAAAATTAAGGTAGGTATGAAATTGGTACAGCTGATGTCTGGTTGATGGCTGCTGTTCATCTTCTGCTTGTACAGCAGTGGCATACTTGGTGAGCTGACGGAGGACCTTTCAAGAGAAACCATACTTTACAGTGGTAAATTCTTCCAGCTAGTTGACGTGACACAATAGGCAATTAAGACAGTGTTCTGGTGGTCAGTATTTACAAGTGTTGAATAAGTGGGGTGGGGGGAGGGGGGGCTGCAAGAAAAAGAAAAAACGTAGCAAGACAGGAAAGCAGCAGCAGTGGTAGTGAAGCCAGCCCCACTGGGATAGGGGATTCAAAAATGAGCACCTGCAGTGGTACATTTTCAGCCAATTCAAGCAGTTAAATAAACAGGCACTGCAGCAGCGAAACACATTGGCCTACTTGTTAAGTAACAGGGCATGATCGCAACCAGATAAAGCAACTTTGGTTTTTCTCTCAACTCTGAAAACTGGTGATCTGATGGGGGTTACAAAATCACTCCAAGTGGGATCAGTCCTCACTCCGAAACAACCAACATTAAAACAATTTCAAAGTGCTTACACAGAAGGGCACATTTCAGGACCTCAGCCAAAACATACAAGTGAAGCCCCTTACAGACTGTGAAACAAACATCCATTTATGGCACAGCAGTCCGAGTTCAAAGGTTCAAGATGCAAAACTGCAACTGATCCTTCTGAAGGAAGGATGACCAGAACATTGACAGATAAAAACATTGCTGCCACGCTGATGATTTCCACAAAAGTAAGTTAATATCAAGGCAACATTCACTTTTAAGGCAACACAGATTCTCCCCCACTGCTCTGTCCAGGTGGTCAAGTTTGCATCCGTGAGCCTCAGAGCAGGGCTGTGGAGTCGGTAGATAAATGCTCCGACTCCGACTCCTCAGTTTCTAAATCTTCCGACTCCGACTCCCCAACTCCGACTCCTCTGTATGTATATACTATACTAATGTATTTTCTACATCCATTGAAGGAAAGGAAGGCAACATACATGTCATTTCACCACAGAACTACTGGCTAGGAAGCCAACACTCTACTATAATGCCACTCTACTATAATACTATATTCCCTTCACTTATACAAGTGTCTCTAGTCCTGCAAAAAACATTTACCTAATTATCAGCGAGAGTTAAGGCCCCCAAATACGCAGCGATCCGTGACCGATTTTACCACCGACCGATGTGCGTGTACAATCGGGGCAATTGATTGGCGGCCGCAGATTGCAGGTGTCCACATGGACGGGCAGATCCAGCTTGCCGA